ACAATTTCATTTGTTCTCCTGTTAACCTCCTTGAAATGTTCATCAAATGTCAATTTATGGTCGATTGTAACACCAAGGTATTTCATTGCTGTAACAAACCTAATCCTTGTTCCGTTGAATCTTATCTGTGGGTTTCTACATTTTCTTCCCCCGCTGGGGAAGAACATTGCATTCGTTTTTACCAGACAGAAATCAAGACCCTCCTCGGTCTACCATTTTTCAAGGTGTGGTACAATATTCTGAAACATCTTTTCCAATTTTTCTAAGGAATCCTCTTTCATTAGAACAATAATATCGTCTGCATAGGCGACGATTTTAAAGCCACTTGGAAATTCTATCTTTAGCAGCTTATTAATTATCAGATTCCAGAACAGGGGTGCACTACAGGAGCCCTGTGGACATCCCCTGTAGATACCGACTATAGCATCATCGATGTCGTCGTGTCCAATGCCATTATCAATCAAGTATCTGTCTCGGAAATAAGAAATATAACAATTAATGATGTTTTTCGGTATATGCAAGTCGGCCAAGTTCTTTAATAAAGAAATCCACCTAATTGAGTAGAATGCTGAAGAGATGTCAAATGACAAAACGAGGACATGTTTGCTCGATCTATTTTTGGCTATGAAATTCGTAACCTCATGCAGAGCTGTATCAGTGCTGCGGCCCAGCAAGAAGCCATGCTGCCTACTGCTCATATAATTGCCATTTAAAACATAATATAAAATCCTATTTACCAATATTTTGTCCGATACCTTTCCAATAAAGTCCAAAAGTAGAATGGGCCTCTTTTTACCATTATGTTTGGGAATTAAAAGAACTCGTTCCCTTTTCCACACAGTGGAAAAAACACCATAAGAAAGACATTTATTATATAGTAAAAGCATAAAATCCGTGTATAATCGATAAAAGATCTTTAAAAATCCAGCACGGATGCCGTCAGGACCGGGAGCGCTCCTGACTCGAAGCCCATGTATTGCCCATAATAATTCCTCATTGGTAATCTGAGGATCATAAGGACCATTTTCATCCAATCTTTCAAGAACAGAATTAATTTCCTCGGGAGCCCCTAATTTGAAGATCTCTTTAATAAGTCTCGTGTTTATCTCTTTCTTACTCATACCATCATTGCTCGTAGCGTTCACTATCATACCTTTTTTCTTAACCTTACCCGAAGTGCTCCTCAAGAAACTACCATAGTAAACATCAGTTTTCAAGAAACTTTTGTTAACATAATCATGTTTTGCTTTGCGTAGGGTTCGTTTGTAAATTGCTAGTTCTCTTTTATAACTAGTCTTTCTATCAATTCTCTCTTGTTCAGTGATTGCGATTATTTGAGATTCGCGCTCTAGTAAGTTCTTCGGTCCACCATGCAATGACTGAAGTTTGCTGAGACTTCACTTTTAATTTCTTGGACATTTTGGACGATCTTTTAAGTCTCCCATAAACGCTTAACAAATTTATCAAGTTCTTCAGCGGATTTTACATCCGATAAGGCTTTATAGTATTTTGTCATCTTGCTCCTATAAGAGCGACAGAAATTACTGATACGGTTAAAATCTCTTGTAATGCCCCGCCGTAAGGATTCAACACGCTCTCGATCCAGATTCAAAATTAAAAATTTATGATCATTTAATGTTTCTTCTTCGGAAATACAGTCTTTCGAACGACAGTCGATGCCTGGAGAAATCATGACTAAATCAGTCCAGCCTATACCCACTGTAGATTGGAAAGTGGGTGACGAATCAGCAGTATTTAAAAGATTATAATTATTTGCTACAATAAAATCAAAGATGAGAGCCCCTCTGGGGTCCGCATGGGGGGCACCCCAACTTGTATGCCTGCCATTAAAGTCACCCAATAATCAAATTTTCTTTGGACATGCATAAGTTTTCCAGAGTAAGCAAGTGCACGGATAGGTCTTCGGCCGGTGAAAAATAGCACGAAATCAAACAGAATTTCTGTGTTCCATAAACCGTCACACAAGTAATTGAATCCAATTGATGGTCGAAAGGACATTCAATTTTTGGATCGAGAATTATAACTGCAGAGCGTCCACCTGGCTTCATTGCTACGCGCCAACCAGTATAACAATAAGCCATCTCGTTGTTTATGAGATAGGGCTCCTGTAGGCAAACTATTTTTGGTGTAAATCACAGTACTCTATCAATTACAAGGAGCTGGGAGGCGGCTAAAGCACAATGATTAAAATTCAGACTTAAAATAATCATTTTAAAATTTTCAAGATAAAAACACAGTATATACAATAAAAAACACAATATAGACAATAATTTTGTTAAAAACATGTATACAATATAATGGAACCCGAGTCCGAAAGTAATTATATGTTCATATTAGCATCTATATCTAGATGTTCCTTAATAAACTCCACTATCTAACTCCACTCCACCAAAAGGGTATTCTCCACTCCAGCAAAAGGGTATACGAAAACCAGAGTTGTGCATTAGTGGGAAAACCAGTTACTCGAGTACAAAGAATCTTTGCTCGAGTAGGACTGTCAGACTTCTGGCTTCGCAACCAGGCCATCCGGTTTTGAAGGAGCAACCCTGATGCCCCTCTTTGTAAATAAGCTGGAACCAGCTTATCCTTTTATGATTTAAAAATAATCCAGTTTTTCAAAACTTAATTTTAGCATGATATTATGCAAGATATAATGCTAATGTATGTTTGAGAAAGGTGTGTACATTAACATTATTAGCATTATACCTTGCATAACATTGTGCTTTAGAAAGATATGTTGTTGCCGATACTTAATTGTCTTTGATATTATATAAGCAGTATTACTAATTTTAGGCATCTGATAGGCTGATCTTGTAGTTTAAATGTTAAAAGTTCAGATTTCTGTAAATACATTTTGTTATCGTTCTACGTTCTAGTCACAAAAATCTCGTTCCACAAAACATTCTAGTCATTGTGAAACGTGGGAACAAGAATTCGCATCTATTTGTAAAAGAGCAAAAGGAATTAATTTCACCTTTTGTATAATACGCTATTATGACATTAAGGTTCCAAATAAAGGGTCAGTATTAGAGGTATAAATGCAAATCAAAAGTTAAAAATAGCTCTGCTTTGAAGAGTTGGGAACATTTGTTCTTAGAAAAGTTTCTATTGAAAATGAAAACATATTGCCACACATCTGTATCAAGCATTTTTTTTATATGAGGCCACTATAGTTGCAGCAGCTATATATGCTCTTTTCAAACAGGTAAAGCTGCATGTACGATTTTGAAATTTCAAATAAGATTAAAGTAGGGAAAAACAAAGGGCAAACATTTGTGTGTAAAATGCTCTACATCTCATTCAATTAAGGTCCGTAGTCAGTCCATTCAGAATGACAATGTTTATTTTTCTGTTACGATGTATTAAAGATAACAATGTCCCTGTTCTGAAAAGAGCTCGAGACACGTTTCAAAGGGCTCACCAGAAGTTGAGTAGACATGGCCACTAAAAATTAGTTGTTTGACTTGGATTTCATTCCCAGTGAACGGGATGACAGCATAGGCAGAACTTATGATTCGTTATCATGGTTCTGCCTATGCGTAACAAGGAGAGCCAATGCCGTTTAGCTAGCCTTTCATGAATCACTCCTTCCTTTAGGCAAATGCCAAAATAAAATAAATTAATCAAAAAAGTGCTTCGTAAATGCAGCATCATAAAGAATGCTACAGGAGCTGTTTAAAATTACCTTCTTTGCTTATAGCAGATAATTTTTAACAGCTTCTATACAGTGAAAAGTTACAGTCGTTACTGTTTACAGCCCATGTATACAGTTAATACTGTTACTTTAATAACGCTGACCTGTTCGCAAGATAGTAGCGTAGCCTGTTGCCATAGCCATAGGCCTCAGTTCGAATCCCGGAGATCACACGAATATTTGCAAGTATGTAATTGTGTAGTGTCTTTGTTGCATAGGTACACTTAATCAGCTACCGAACTGGAAGTCCTTTTGTGGGACTGCTGGAAGTGAAAGAGTAGTGGGAGAACGTCGGATCCATCATCTGGGAGTTCTTCATTATAAAACTGGGGCAGACCCGGGTAAACTCGTACTCCTTATATACTGTTTAATGTTTTATACTCTAGAACAACGACATGTGCTACCTCTTGCCTCTAGGCCAAGACAAAATTCGAAGATCTGACCTAACTGAGGTTCACTTCAGCAGGAGTAATAACACCAATAGCCCTTTAACAAGATTAATGGCGATGGGTTCAGTTTAACGGCATATGTGACATCTTTTCTTCCAGGGTTTTCAGATCAGTAATGTTTTGAGTTCAACAGAAGGTGAAATATATTAAGAGCTATTGAATAGGCAAGGTAAAAAGTTGTACAGATCAGCAGGTGTAATAACAATGACCTTCCAATGACACACGTTCAGTGGTGATCAGATCAATTTAACGACGCCTGTGACAGAGCCTTTCATCCAGGCGTTTCAGTCCAGTAATGGTTTCGGCAGAACCGAAGATGTAATGTATTAGGAGCTATTTAATAGGTAAAATAAGTAGTTATTAAGTTTGATAGTAGCCACATGTAAGAGATTGCTGTGAGATTTAAGTTTCGAAAGGGCTACTGAGAACTCACTCATGCACTGTCGCTTCATGCACTGAATTAGAAAATAGTGATTAATCCTTAGGATGCGGCAGTCACCACACGCTATTTACATTTAGTACTTTAATTCCCGCTTTATTAAAATCACCCTTAATTCAAATGTACTTTCTCTAACAGAATTTTAAATAACCTAATAAGTCGAAAAATAATATAATAAAAATTTCGAATCTAAATTTAAATGTTAGGTATGTAAACAAATGTGTAGCACTATTTTTCTGCCCTCATGTAATTATTCTGAAGTAAGAATTTCAGTTAAATTTATAAAAATTAAATATTAATTTAATTTTAGAATTACTTCTATTATGCGAATACAATTAATTTCTGACTTTAACAGTGACTGGCGTTTCATATATGAAATGCTATTCTTTCGTTTCAGCTAGAGATTTCAACTTAAAAGATGCTGAATATATGCTAAGAAAGGTAAGAATTTTCTTATGTAATTGATTACATCGCATTATTTTTTTTTTAAATTGTGCTATCCAGAAAGTTCTGCGGTTTTTCAAATCAAAGGTCATTTTCTTCTAATTATTTTGGTAGTGCTGATAAGGAGTGATATTTATTGAAGATATTTAAATGTAGTCTTTCCTGTTCATGTTGCTTAATTCCTGCATGAACTGTTGAGTAATTGTTTTCCCAATATAGTGCTAGGAATGAAAAATCAGAAGTTCATCATCTTTATCACGAAAAAAAATTGAAAAAGTTCTTTTGTTTTAAAAAAAGGAAAATTCCCAGTAGGACATCTTGTAAAATTTGTGTTAATATTGACAAAGTTTATATTTGTTCTAGTACTGGCATTTACATGTGTGCTAATATTCAGAAAATGCTATTTCTGATGACAATTTGGAAGCATTTGAGATGCTTAAGCATAGAATATTTCAGCTTCGAAGAAGATACCGTTCTGGATTAATATCCATTATAAATAAGGACCAATTAAAAGAAACTATTGCTGAAAATCCACATTATACAGTTCAGAATGATCAGATAGTTTAAATATTCCAAAAATGCAATATATGATCATTTGAAGATTTTGTATGCGAACTACTATTATATATGGGTACCCAATATTTTACAGAGCAGAATATGCTTGCTCGAATTTTGGCAAGTGCTTCTTTGTTGAAAAAAATAAAAAAACTCATTTTTTATACGGTTTATTACCGGAGACAAGCAGTAGACGCTATACAATAATGTTACAAGAAAAGGATCATGGGGTAAGCCAGAAGAATCTGCTTTAGTACCATCGAGAATGGGTAGCATCCCAAAAAAGTACTGCTTTTTGGATGATGGGCCCTTAAAGGAATTGTAAACTGAGAACTGTTGACAAAAAATTTGGAAAAGTACTATTCCCAAATGACTGTTTTAAAAGCAGAAATTGAAGCAAAGCGCTCAAAACTGACCAGGTTTCGAGGTGCTATCATTCAGCATGGCAAAGCTCGATCTCATATTTCGATGAAGATCAAGATAACGTCAAGCTGGAAAGTTTTGTATCACTTTTCTATGTTTATTTGATCTTGCCCCTTGGATTTTTTATCTCTTCAGGTCACTTCAAAATTCTGAGAACGGACTGGAGTTTACTTCTTTGGAGAATATCAAACAGCACCTCGATAATTTCTTTGTAAATGAAAACCTTACGTTTTTAAGACGGGGAATTTTTTCAGCTTTCAGAGAGATGAGAGTAAGTCGTAGAACAAAATAGCGCTTATGTGCTTCAATGAAATTTGCTTATGCTTTTTTACTGCTTCATTTATATTTATAAAATCTGCAGAACTTTTCGGATGACCAAATAATTTAATATTACTTTCTAGATTTGATTTGATACGTCTGAACATTATTTTCGCCTTTATCAGTCTGAACACTTATTTTTGCCTTTATCAATCTGAAGTCATTTGTTCAATTTAAAATAAAATTAAACTACATTTAAAAGATAAATTGAAAATAGGCTAAGTCGAGATATTTATCAAACAATGCGCACGTTAGAGGAGATTAAATACAGTTTATGTTTATTTACTGACTTTCAGTTTTTATGCCTGCTGTGACGTGAAAGCAATTCGTTTGTGTGTTAGCGCTCTAATCTTCATCTGAAGAGAAATTTTGCACTTGAATCTCGAGGTGACGAATGTAAAACGTTGTTCTTAGAGTGAAACTTTAAGTCAATTTGTATGCCCTAATATTTAGAATACCTTAAAAATTAGAAATCTTAAATGCACCTCACATGTTTCCAAAGAAGAATTATTTGCTATCTTTCCCATACCATCAAATTCTAGAATATCTCTAAGATTTTAAATTTTTTTTGCTTAAATTATTTTTGTGATAAACACATTTTTACTGCATTCTAGAATATCTCTAAGATTTTTAATTTGTTTTGCTTAAATTATTTTTGTGATAAATACATTTTTCATTTAATAGATTTCATTTTTCAATGTAATCATAAGTTCTAAAATTTGCATCGCTTTTAAAGCGAAACTCAGTGGATGTTAATTAGAAATATGCTTGGGGAAAGAAAGTTCTCACTATGTATGTTGATCGTTTTATAATAGAATATTTAATTAATTTTGTGTTCGCCAGCGAAGTAGTAAATATTTTGTACAGTTAAAAGAAGAGCGCAAGGAGTACAGCGCAACTGTTTCTCAGTTGTAAGATTGATAGTGTTTTAATCTTTTATTAAAAATATACCTTCAGACTAGTGAAAAGCAACAACTCTTGGACATTTACTAAGCTTTCATGCGGAAAGATACAGGGGTTAAATTTTCAAGTATGTTGTAATTACTCGTGTCAGTTCTCCTACTTAAGGTTTTTAATAATAAATTGATTTATGAATATTTTTTATTGTTCCTTTCAGAATATAACCTGGAGGAAAACATATCAAGTAGATAATATACTAACAGACTACGTGCCGCCAAAGGTAATTACCTCCGTTTATTCCTTTCCTATGTTATATACAAACAAACATACTATCCATAGATAAAACGAGTTGAAAGCTGAGAATGATGACAAAAATTTAATGAAGGATATTCACAAGAAGAAGAAGCTCGCAGAGCTACATTAAAAGTCAAAAGGAAATGCTTAATAAGTATTTAGGTAATATTATTCTCATTGTTTTTTAATATTTTTCAGATAATATAGAAGTTATTTGTTCTATAAACGATAACAGAATCCTACATCGAAAAAACATACTGAAAATTCTAGCTGTTTTTAATATCATTTTGGTGATTTCTAAATTTGATATGCATTAAAAGAGTACTATCATTTTTCAGGAAGCAATTTTAATGAGCAAATCTGAATACTTAATTAAGAATTTGTTACTGATTTCAGTTTGTTACTGATCAGGAGTTTTTAACTTTTAATTTATCTAAATAAGATTTAGTAATAATAATAATTTTGCGTAGCGAGTATGCATTTACACATCCTGTATCTCTCGAGAAAATTTATGAAAATTTGAAATCCGTGCTCAAGAGTTTCAAACACTGTGATTACGATTTAATGATTTGACGAGAGATTAAATGCTGTGCACGGTACAGGCGATGACAATTCTTTGTTTTACTTATTACAGATAAGTCAGGCAAGAATTCATCTGAGCTGGTTTTTAAGAAAATCTCTTCCTTTGGTAGCAGAAACGTTTTATAGTAAGGACTTTGTAAGCGGGATACTAGTTATCCATCCTAATTTCATATAAAACTGTGCCTCATAAAATAATTGGTGAGGGCCTTGACAAAGGACGTCATTTACTACGATTTTTTACAAGTAATTTTGAAAAATTCCTCTTCCTATTGGAAGTACAATATTTTCATCAAACCAGGCATTCAGCATTAATGTTCGATAAGAACTTTGAACTTGTTATAATTGATATTGAAAACAAAATTTGGATTGCTCTACAGAAAGTTTTGTGGTAACAATGAAGATCTTAACTGCCTGAGCAGAGTTTAAGATAAAATTCATATGTTTATGCTGTTTAATAAGTATAGAACATCAGTTTCTAAATTCCCGCCTAGATGTTGTTTCTCGTAAAATAAGAATTTAAAAAAATGGAAAATGGTACTGGAGTTATCTAATACGATTTCAGGTTGTTATACTGCAAAATCCAAAGGCATCGCTTACGAGCAACAAATTGAGTTTGTGTATCGCAAGACAGTGCATGTTCTTCTAATGATTATTGTGAATTTCCTTACATAATGACAACTTTTTAGTGCAATATGTAAAAACATGTTTTCTATTTTTATGAACTATTTATAATGAAGCTTACTTAATATTTCCGTATAATGTCGTTTGATTTGGCTTTTCTTACGTTATTCAGGTCGGAAAATTTGTGTACTTTACTCAATCAGAAGTTAATATTAAATTGCAATAGAACAGATTTTCAGATCTTTTTCAGATTCAGCGGTTTCAACAATTAAACATTCAGTCAATTTCACAGATCCCTATAGTTATTAAAATGGCTTTTATGTATTTTAATTTTAGAAAAAGTCTTTAATCTCATTTGTTTTCAACTTGATGAGACAAAAGAATTTTAAGGAATTAAAGAAATTATATTATTTAGGATAACAAACAGACATTGTTTTAAGATGCTATCAAAAACATCTTTAAGTTGATCTGAAGTAAAAGAGTACATTTTTAGCATTCATGTATCTAATTACGCAAGTAACTTCAGTCCACGTGACTGTGATCTTATTACAAAATGTCGAGTAGATATCTCTCGAAAGGAATATAATTGCTCCTCGAACTTCGTTCTTTAAAATGTGATAAAATATAAAATTCATTCCAACATTCTGTATAGTTGGAATTTAAGGCTACAATTTACGTTTTCGGATCCAGTAACTGTTTGAATCCAGTTTATTCTTCGGTTGAGAATCTGAAACTCTTCAAGTCATAATACATGTATATGATTTTATTTTTAAAATAAAAATATTAAAAATGTTAGTATTTTACAAGCGGTTTACTGATTATACAAATAAATTTTTCTGCCAGGTCTTTGAAGTATCTGGCTTTTACAGCCGAATTGGTTATGATAAGGAGGGAAGCCCAGTGATTTATTCGCCGATTGGAACACTGGATGTCAAAGGTAATAATGAGTACAATTAACTTTATTCCTAAAATTTTAAATTATTATTATTATTATCATTATAACTATAGTTAGCAGATTAATTATATATTAGCATTTATTGGTTACCTGCATAATAATTGCACTATGCTTAGCATCACAGAAGTGCTATTAGGCTTTTAGTTTTAACTGGTATACGTTGTTGCACATAGTTATTAAAAGTTCGTTGTTGCACATAGGATATCATATCACTATAAGCACTAATTTTTACAACCGTTGGTTGCAGATATATACTTCCATTTACGAATATATTTTAAGTGAGGCAAAGCTTCATTTTTACGGATTTTTAAATAAAATGAAAAACTAACCTTGAATAAAATACCAAATATAATATTTTATACATGTATAGTACAGGAACATTTTGTACTCGTTATTAAAAAATGGACAAAAGTTTGACTCCTCTACGACAGGTATTGTTCAAGATATTTAATTTAAAGTTTTATCACACTTCACATCATTTTAAATTTCCATTTAGGGATCTAATAAATAAATATTCTAATAAAACAATAAATTCTAATAAATAAATTATAATAATTTGAAGTTAATTTTTCCTCTTAAATACCATTTAGTGGTAGCCTTTCGTGATGTATACTAGTATCTTTATTTAAGATTCTGCTACATGTGTCATTCCAAAGTGTTTTCACCCGAATAAATTTTCAAATTCTAAAAATACATTATTAGAATTCTTATTGAGCTTTACTACTTTAGAATCATTATTTGCTAATCGTAAAAATTCATTAAAATGCAACTATTTTTCAAGTATGATTAAAGCAAACAATATTATGAGTTGGATACATGCCACTGCTAAAGTCTACTGGAACACAAATTCTGTAAAATTCTAGTGAATAAAATCTCCATTTAAAATATCTGATGTGGACACCATATGAACTTGGTAATACCTATTAAATTATACACGTTTTCACTTGCATTTCATTTAAACTTATTTCCTCGAATTCCATTAGATATATATCTTTCATTCAATCAATTCAGCTCTGACATCGCCGCAAGGCAAAAATACACAAAACCTCAAAAAATATGTTCCTTAAAATTGTAAAATACAAATAAACATAAAACACCCAATACACTCAAAAACAGTTAAAAAATAATTTTTACAATTAAAATTAGAGTTTCTACATAAAAACAAGAAATTCGGTCAACGGGCAGGAAAACAGATTTTTCCCTGCACAAAACTGAAAGTTCACTTTTGGTTCCACCCGAAAAAATTACACTGAATTTGGCGCAGAACAAACTGATTTAATTTTCCTTTCTACTAATAGTTTCACATGTAAACAGATGGCAGCTTCGTTAGATTACCAGCATTTAAACGAATTTTAAATTGTTGATAATTCTGAAACTGTTCCTTCAGAATTAACTAAAGGCATAAAGACCTTTACCAGAACATAAGAATCACATAATTCAATCACTTTTAAAGGGGAAAATGCACAATTTACCAATATATAAGTATTAAAAAAACTGAGCTCACCGAGCAGGGTAACAGACAAGGTATATATATCTATATATTTATATACTTTTGGTGCTGCTAAGTGACGCTAAAAACGGAGATGCACAACTAAATATTATAGCAGTCCCACGTAAAACATTTCAACTTTCTGAAGCTCTCATTTTTGAGTTATGCTAGATACCTACACACGTACGTACAGACGTCACGAAAAAATCTCTCTGAATTCATTTTAAATCCATTTTGGAGAAAAGAGTCATTTATTCTGTTCGTACGTACAGATGTCGCTCAAAATCATTGTTTGAGTGAATTCAAGAGGGCTCAAAATGGATATTTTCTTTGAAACATGATGCCCAAAATTGTGCGCGAGTACAGTACTTCCTTTAATTGGTACAAGGAAGTAAAAAAATTATATGCATCAATATTTTTTAAAATGAATCTGCCTAAAAATGCTCGTTACATAATATCCTAATAACAGTAGCCTTTTTGTAACGATATTTTATTTTTATTCTACTAGAAATGAAAACATTTGGTTCTTCAATTTGTGTGCAGCTGTTGAGAATGATTCCCGATCTTAATATCAGATACCTTGGTCAAACTCTAGAGTATGGGAGTCAAATGTTTTAGTTTTGTTTTTTATAACGAGTGCAAAATGTTGCTAAACTATAAAGACCAGAGATACATGTAAAAAGTTAGATTTTGCATAATATTAATCTTTGAACACTTAAAAACATGAAAATATGATAATATGAAATTTTGCGTTGTTTAAAATATTTTTGCAATTGGACATATGTCTCGACCAACGGTTGTGAAAATAAAGACAAAGTATCTTTTGTGGAAGCGTCTTTAAAGAGATGCCAAGAAATAAGGTGAACGTACTGTAAAAACTGAAGATTCAATGTTGATAACAAGTAATGATGTTGCTATCACTTTATTTCAATCTTCACAGGTACTATGAATGCAGCAATAACGTCTTTTATTCACGAAAGGTGCTAAATATATCTGTGCTGCTAATTAAGAGACAGTATAGCTCATTCTCTTGAGCACATTTTGGAGGAGAGAGTAACTCTTCCTTAGTAATATTGTTGATAATGTTTGTAATTCTGTATTTGGATTCATAAAGCACGTTTAGATTATTTTGAAAAACTTTAAAATTTCTCCGTAAATAAATATATAACAGACACATGCATGATGAAGTGAACAGGACAGCCACCAATTTTTCTTTCTTTGTTGATATCGTTGAATATCCAGTGCTTTTGATGTAAAAATATCTCTGCCGTATGTGCCGTATGTCCTGCCTTGTTAAAATCATGGGTTCAGCGTCTCATATGTCAATTGCACAAATACTTTGAATATGTCGTTTATGTTACACTTCGAAATTATATCATTAATAAAGAAAATGAAATCAATGATTTTGGAAGTTAAATTATGCACAGCACGACCCTCGTTTCATATTCCAATAGATTAGATCAATATCTTCTGTTTTGGCTATTTATGTAATCTTAAGTTTGGTTCTTGCTTTGCCGATATTAAACATAGTATGATCTTGCGCAGCTACTCCCTACATTCATTGAAGTTTATTCCATTTTGCTTTATCGAACTATCTACAAAGCTCTCAAATTTATCGTTACTTTGGATTGTCTAAACTTCCTTCTAAAACTGTCCATAAATTGCAAAATGATAAAATAATCGAAGTATTTTTTTGAGAAAGCCTTCGCAAAACCTTTCAGTTTTAAGAAAAACTTTCTTCTACTTGAGATGTGTTTACAAGGGGGCAATCTCACACATATCCGGTTAAACAAATTTATTTTCTCGCGAAATTTCTTGATAATCTATTGTTATCGCTGTTGTGAAATTGTTAAAAGCTCATAAGCAAATAACTTTCAAATTATCTAAAAGATTTCAGCGATAAATAGCACCACACAAAGATCTCTTCTTTGTGCTATATTAATGGTATACTGAATAAGACACTACCTGTAATAACAGGTACTTTTGATGACGGATAATAGTTACAGAACTACGAAACAAATGTTTACATTAACTTATAGGCTTCTATCTACTTTTAGCTAAAATTTCCTATATATGGTGAAGTGCATTTTCTTAAAACTGAGCACACTTTTTAAATTGCTTGATTACATGTTTATTTCAATATTGATACAAAGTTATTTGTATTTCCATTTTGGACATTACATGTATGCTAATGTATTTTCAGGAATACTAGCATCAGCAAAACTGTCTGACATAATTCGATACAATGCACTACTAGTTGAACAAGATATTGTAACATTAAGGGCTCAAAGTGAAAAGGTAATTTCTGTCTGCTGCATATATCATTTATAAAATGTTACTTATGCGCAATCGTAGATGAACCCATAGCTGCTATGCAGGGAAATGAATCAATGTAGGTTTTCGTTCGGTTTTTGTCATGTGACACACTTAATAAATACAAAATTCATCTTTTTATATGAGTCATTTACAAAGAATGTTCCAGTTAGTTAATTGCTTCGTAATCTAATCAAGAAGATTTCTAGAAAGGGACAACCTGAAAAATATGTGGTAAGAATTACCGTGAATTTTTTTTTTTTTTAATCTCAATGGGTACTTACGGAAAATCCCGTCTACCACAAGAGACCGCGCAAATCGCGCCAAACAAAACAAACAAACAAAACAAAAAACAAACAAAAAAAAAAAAAAAAAAAAAAAAAAACATTTGCTAAATACAAGGGAAAAAAACGTTCTGTTTTTATTTTTATTTCAAATTTATTATATTATTATTTATTTATATTTAATTTTTCATTAAAATTTTTCCTTATTTTTTGTTAAGGAGATATATTGTAAAAGCAATTACTTTCTCTGGGTTTTAATTTTCGCGAGCAAATGTAAATCTCGCGAAATACTTTTTTTTCGCCTCGAATAACAATAAAAAATCAGAAATTTTTCATGTGACAAATTTCGCGAAATTTTTAGTTCGTGTAATCACCGATATCTTCATTTTCGCGAAAATTACGGCCTAAGATTACACCAAACACAGCATGCTTGAAGAAAACTTCCACTTTTGGCGAAAAATCGCATAGTTTGGCGTTGTGGTGTAGTGTTAATGCTTCAACGGTGTGGTGTTGAATTCTAATGAAAACTCTAATGATGGAACACCGCATGAAAATTATATTGAACGCACAAAAAATGGCTACGTAAATCAACTAGAGAAAAACCTATATCTATTTAAACAAATTCAAATTCTCTACATTTTACGTGCGAGAGCAATACGTGGCTCTCGAGCCTGCGTTTGAAACAATGCCAACATTTTAATATTGTTTTTTTAAAACAATTAATTCAACTTAACAACTATTGAAAACGTATAAAAGTTAAAGAATGATAATATTCATCTTATGCTCTCGAGAAATCTTTGTCCATATTAATTTTCAAGTTTCTTCTTCCTTTATGCGACCTTATCACAACTTCTCCCCTCACAAAGGAACTTTTCCCAACGAGATAAAACATTTAATTCTACCAATTTTTGAAAATGAAACACACAATGCAAACAATTTTAAATCTGCACAAATATAATTCCAAAACACTACAAAAATTATTTTCACTAATTTTTACCTTACATTGTATCCACTAGTGATATTCAGTCACTAGACTAGGGCACGACTCAAGCCATCTGCATTACCGTGTAATTTGCCTGGCCTATGAACAATAATAATATGCCTGGCCTATGAACAATAATAATATGCCTGGCCTATGAACAATAATAATATGAACAATATAAGTTTTACTGCTGGAGACACAATTCCCAGCGAGTCAAACGAGAATTTGATCCCATGATTTTGTTTAAAAAAGTCAACGGGTTATGATCCGTCTGGATCTTGAATTTCGTCCGTCTAAGTAGTGATTTGGTTTCCTCAGTCCATAAATAATAGCCGCTAGTTCTCTTTCAATAGTGCGATAATTTCGCTCCGCTTTAGTAAATTTTTTGCTAAGATATAGTATAGGGTGTTCCTCCCCATCCTGAATTTGAGACAACACAATACCTGCATCATATAAGCTGGCATCTGTCCGCACAATAAATTCTTTAGAATAATCTGGTGCAAATAAAACCGGACTTTTTACTAGTTTGGTCTTCATTTTATTGAAAGCTTCGTCGCCCTTTTTTGTCCAAATCACTTTTCCTTTTTTGTTTTTCCCCTTCAAAGCGTGTATCAGAGGTATTGCAATACGTGCCAAGTCTTTTATGTACCTTGCATAGTAGTCCACAGTACCAAGCTCAAGCTTGGCCTCACTAGGCGACCTTTTCCCAGACCCTACTTCATGACCCAGAAATTTCACATGGTCTTGGGCGAATTTGTATTTCGAGGGCTTAACAGTCAATTTAGCCTCCTGAAGGCGACCTAAAACCACATCCAAATCCTTCATATGCTTGTTCCAAGTCGGCAAAAAGACTGCGATGTCGTCAATATACGGTAGAATAAAAATTGTCCAGCCCTCCTAAAAATTAAACGATCAATTTACAAAAATAGAAAGGCGCATTTAAAGGCCCAAACATCATCTTCTTCGGGATGAAAGATCCAAAATGCGTCACAAATGCGGCATATCTCTGTGCACGCTCTGTGAGTATAAGTTCCTTAAGACTTTCAAAATCTTGAACTTCCACTGAATCCACCAATTCTCTAAATACATTCTGAATTCATACACTAAATCCACTCATAATAACATTCCGTTTTTTCTAGAATGTTCTTCAAATTTTGTTTTTAGTGCCCAGTAACTAAGCTTGAATCTCTGCATGAGTAATTTCTTAACATCCTGATAATCATCCGATTTATCTGCCGGTTCTTTCACTATTAACTGGGCTACATTGTGAGGTAATAAAGGAATTAATTGCGAGACCCAATTAATCTCATTAACGTTCTCTTTTTGAGCTTGTTTCTCAAATAGCATAAAGAATAATGAAATATCTATATTACTCGGTTCAAAACGCGGTACTAGATCTTTCAAATTAACCTTTTTCCCTCTAGATTGTTCAACTGTCGAAACCGGGAAAGCTAGGCTATTAGTCTGAACCACATTCATCAGTTTTAACTTTTCCAATTCAAAAACTCGCTCCCGTTCCCGCTCTGCTCTTGCTCACGTTCCCGCTCTGCTCCCTCTTGTTCACTTTCCCGTTCTGTTCTCTCTTGTTCACGTTCCCGTTCTGCTCTCTCTTGTTCACGTTCACGCTCTACTCTCTCTTGTTCGGTTATTTCTTCTGCTTTTATCTGCTCAGCTGCAGCACAAATTCTTGCCGCGTATTCTTCCGCCGCTTCTTCTCCAAAGCCCTCTGCATTTAGAATAGCCTGCCTAATTTGTCTTACTCTATTTGCTTGAGACACATTTCTATCAAACTCCTCCGCTAACTCCAATAGCAGAGTTTTAGTAAATTTCCTCATAAACTCAACCATTATTAAAATTAAAGAAAAATAACCTACCCCAAAATACAATAACACAAAAACAACAGGTCTATCTCTCCAAAACTGAATAGTACCCTAATAGGTCTGAACACTAATTGCCTTACAACACTAAATGATAATACCTATGCCTACATACGAAACATATATCAAAAATGCTAGTGAAGTGGCAACCTTTTCCTGCTCTATTTAACTATATAAACTCTAACTCTGGGCTGATATAGAAACTAATTTTTTCTAAAGCATACCTTTACAATACTTCGTACAATTTAAACAGTTACTAAAACAATAGAACAAATAATTAAATTCCACTTAGCAAAAGTAATCACAAGACTAACTTTCAATAATCACCAGAAAACTTTTGATCCCCCAAAACAGAGCTATATCCAAAATAAACCTAGTCTCGAATAACTGGCATAACTTCTCCAAAATCACAAAAATGGTATTCACCAATTTGAAGACGCCTTCGATGACTCTCCTGGCACTAACTTGGATACTCCAACTCTTCTGGGAAATTTCACTATTTTGCGACACTAGATCACACTCCGGCATTCGCTTCTGATACACTGTCAGATGTCTGAAGAGGATTCACCACGCGAACTGTCCTTGCACGCAAAATTAGATCGTTCTTGTGCAGAGAAGAAAGCCTTGACTGCTCACATAAAGCTCCTTTACAATACTGCCTTTTCTAGAACTTCCATTCGACGATCCGGTACACTCACACGACGAGCTGTACGCAAAGCAACGCACGATGTTAATTGAAGTTCACAGGCGAAAAGACCGTTCCTAAATGTACTCTCAGGAAAAATCCCTAAATGCTGCCGCCAATTTTTAATATTTACTGCTGTGGTGTAGCGTTAATGCTTCAACGGTGTGGTGTTGAATTCCAATGAAAACTCTAATGATGGAAGACCGTATGAAAATTTTATTGAGGGCCTCAAAAAATGGCTACATAAATCAACAAGAGAAAAACCTATGTAACCTATTTAAACAAATTCAAATTCTCTACATTTTACGTGCGAGAGCCATACGTGGCTCTCGAGCCTGCGTTTGAAACAATGCCAACATTTTAATATTATTTTTAAAACAATTAATTCAACTTAACAACTATTGAAACGTATGAAAGTTAAATAATAATAATATTCATCTTATGCTTTCGAGACCCATCCTTGTCCATTATTAATCTTTAGATTCTTCTTCTTTTATGCGACCGTATCACAGCGTCTTTTCTTTAATAGGCAAAATTGGTCGAAGGGATTTTCCATAAGTACCTCATAATGCTATTTTTTTCATGTTTCATAATAAACATTTAAATTTTACATTATTTTATGAAAACGTATCACGTAACGAAAATTGTTGCACATCGGAAGCCTGTCTTATTATGATAATTTTATAAGTCTTAATAGGGTTCTATCGCCAACCAGTCATACAAGAAATATTTACTCTTGCAATCGTTTCAAAATACTTTATATTATATTGCTTATAATCCACCATACATGTATGCTTGTGATGAAACATCCTCATGCCTAGGTGTACTCAAGAAATTTGCATCAAGTATCGGTAAACATATTAAATAATATAAAGTGAATACAGGATTACTTAAAGTAATATATACAGGAAACAAAGTCGAGATGTAAACACTTCAGTGTCATTTTGTTTTAAATAATCCAGAACACTGCAGACGAATTCATGAACTAATAATTCAGTGTGGAAAAGAGAAATCCTGGACCCAGAAGTATTTGAAAATAAATTGTGCTACCTTCCGGATCCGATCATGGAATCTTAGTGTTGCTGGACGGAAGTTTTAACCATTACAGCACAAAGGAAATTCATTTTATGTCTTATACCCACCTGCAATTTAAAAGCGGATAGCTAAATTTAGTTCCCTAAAGAATTAACCAAGAGTTATTTAACAATAAACAGCAACCTCGAATGAATTTTCGATTTTTATATCCGTAAAATTAAACTAGTCTTGTAACGGGTATATTTACTGAATACCTTCTCTTTTGATGCACTAGAGGACGCTACATTCTTAGCCAGCTAACGCCACTCCCATGATCCTCTGGGAGCACAGTATTAATGATGTAGTCGTAGCGATCAGTCAATGTTTTGTTTAGTGTAATTTTGTTTCTTTGTTATGTCCGTGTGTTTATTATGTTTTGTGAAAGTGGAGCTTAAAATCTAATTAAAATATATCTGCTCCTAAGATTGGGTATTTTCATTTGCTGCAATGTTTATCAATTGTCTCGTCACAACACAACGGGCATAGTCTCTTTTTTTTTTTTTTTCTTTACAACAAAAATTATTTTAACGCAATTTGAAAAACAGCATGATTTGTTTTAGAAAAGAACTTAGTTTTACCATTTAAAATCAATGTTAATTAAAGGCTGAATTTCACAATTCATTAAAGAACAGTAATGTTTCTTTTTCACTGTTTAATTTTTATGTAAAAGATAAATTCAAGCGAAAAAAGCAGAAAAATCCTGAAATATTACTAAATTTGTATTTGTATTATTTTATAAATTTACTATACTCTGTTTATTTTATATTTCTTTCGTAAGGTTAATCGCAGTTTTAAATATTAATTTAATTTTTATTATGTTTTTATTTGCTTTTAGTTAGGTAAACTTCTGACACAAATTACATACATTTATGACTTCGATAAAATATCATTTACCACTGCAACGAGTAAGAAGGGTAAGTTGTTCTTTATTAAATTCAGGCTGATAGTTTGTTTAAAGTAGCTTTTTAATTATATAAGATTTTCGCTTCTGTTCTCTTAAATTTTTTCCCTCGCTGTATTTTTAAAATACAGGAGTTAACACCAGTCTTACTGATTTTAATTCAAATTATTAATTTTTATTGAATAATTGTCATCTCTTTATGCATTTATAATCACCTTGACTTTTAAAACTGTTATACTTGCGATGCACAGAATAATAATGAAACTAATGCTGAACTATGCACATTGAACATGCAAAAAAAAAAAAAAAAAAAAAATTTGGGGAGTCATTAGGATTTTTTGAAGAAGGAGACATGAAAAAAAGCAAAGCCCTCCCCGAGACTCTAACCTGAATCTCTTGAAATAGGCTCCTAGTGTGTTACACCATGAAGGCATGCTGGGAGGAAGGAGAAACTACCTTTTAATATAAATATTTAAACACATTACACTTTACAAGGAGATTTCGCCAAGTGCTTATACAGCAAAATGTTAGAGGCATAATATTTACAACTGTAAATTACGAAGGCCTCGATGAGATTGGATTATTTAACAAAGGTTATAAAGCTTCATCTCCATCTGAGTTATGATCGACAGCACTTCGATAGATAGGAGCTAAATATCTTTAAATACCACAACATTTGGACAAAGTACTGAGAAAGAATAAATGAATACATGATTGTTCTGAATCTATCTTTTCTAAATAGAAACTCAGGTTAAAGGTCAGTTTTTCATTGAATGGATTATCTCGAATAGAACACTATTTTATAATAAAATAAACTGCGTGTAATTGCTTGATTACTTTAGAAAGCACTGTAAAAACACTCAAAAGCAGTTTCTTTACGGAAATGTTATATAATAACGAAAATCGGAATGAATTAGGAAGCAATCTGGATAATATTTCTAAAAAATCTGGAGATGTTATAGTTTAACTATAATTTTTAAGTTTATTTTTAATTATTAATAGTGAATCAGCCTACATAATAAATTTGTGCTTTATGCATCCCCCATAACCATTGTTTTATTTCCTTAGTCATGACAGGAAAAATATTACTTATACAGGTATACTGTTTTCCTGCTACCTTGAGCATTGATGAAATTCTTCCTTGCTGCTTTAGATTTGGAAGTTTTTAAAATATTGTTCATTGTCTTTCTTCATCACTTCTGCGGAAAGTATTGACGCAGGCCCCCAAAAATGCATACGTCATTTGACAGACATCAAATCTGTCGAAGCGTTAAACAAAATAAAACGTGACCCGAATGCTTACTTTCTGAGAGTGAAATTACCTGATCTTATGACAGACCAGCGCTTCTTGAATGCATTTTATTCGCAATCCCTTTTTATTATCGAGACTTTTTCGTGCCCTCAGATATTAATTATAAAATAAAGATATAAAAAATATATTTTGCAATAAATAATTTATTTCTTTAAATAGTGTGCATATGTAAAGGACTAGTTTTAGTATTTGTTTCAAATATGCAACTATTATTGAAAGAAAATCATCTTTATTGAGATGTGCTTCTTTTTATACTGCGTAACAATTTAAAATCTTTGTGCAATATTTGACGCTACTAGACGTAAAGCATCTTCATCTTCTTAGACTTAATAATGGTTAAAACTGAAAACGTCCTTTCACAAGCGTATGTGGTACTCAGTAGGAGAAGAATACTTAACCCTTTGTTGCATCATGTCCACTCTAGTAGATAAAAGTTTTAATTTGTTTATTCTTCTGTAGATGCCTTAACAGTTTCCATTCCTGTGTTTACTCATTCTATATTATTAGCACTTTTAACTGTCGATCATAGATGGCTGTATAGCATTACTAAGTAAAGCATTGCTATTTGGAAAATGGCTGCTATTTTTGTTTCCAAGTTAGTACAATTTCTCATAGTAAACATTATATAATATTGCTTACATTTTCTTATACTGCCATTTTTTATTCATAATTAGTAATTTTAGATATTTTATTTAAATGTCATTTTGAGAAAATTGTGGAGTGAGTAGATAAAGATCTACCGAAAAGAGTGAATTGAAACCCAAATGTACTGCTTATCAAGCCATTAAGATTACCATTAGAAGTACCATACCAATGTAGATTTACCATTTAGAAGATGGTAGTGATCACTGCAAACAAGGCAGGAAATGATTTCAAATGCAATGACCATAAATAGTTGGGAAGAGATTTGTATGCATGTACGTATATGCATGCTGTCCACTGTAGGGAATAAACTGTAGCAATTATTCAAAACGAAATCTGAATAATTTTTTAAAAATTATTACTAAGGTTATTTTAAGTAGAAAAAATACAAACATTTTCTTTTAACTTTTCTAGATTATTTGTATGCAAAAAGGGTTAATGTCATTTCACAAATTTTGAGAAATTCAGTTTTAGCTCCGGTCTACAATTTCAGTGAAGGATTTTTGTAGAAGCTCAAGTTTCGAGTCACTCAGTAGCTCAGCAAGTGTTTCTTAAGCTTTATATGGCATTAGATTAATCTCATTAATGTTGGTTAAAATGATTTTGAATCTAAGCTAACTTTCTCTGAAATCAAAATTCGACATAAAGTTCTAAGATAACTTTCTGAAATCAAAATTCGACATAAAAAGTTTTCAAAACTATGTTTGTAGGTTTTTGGGGTGACCTACAATTAATCTACAAATAAAATTCTACAATTATTTTTTCGGTTACAAAATTGTCGATGTCAGAGACGTTTCAAGTGAATTATTTTCCGCTCTCTTTTCCTATTAATGTAAATTTTTATCATTCAAATTAAATGTGTTATTATGTTTTCCTCGAGACAAGTCGTGATTGTGAGATAGTTTAGTTTCTCGAAAGTAGATCATAAAGACTTTTGATAACCCTAAGTTATTTTAAAAAACAGCAGCGAGACTGGATATTGCTTCGGCTTAAAATATAATAATTTCTTAGTTTAGTAATAATAATAATCTTAAATTTCGCCCTATTGACACCAATCTCACTTCTGCGTGTAATGATACATTTTTGTATTCAGAGTCCATGTCTTTACAGAAATTAAAAAATGAATAGCTGGTAAGGGCAAGGGTTTTAATAAAATTTATAACTTCAGCATCCTGAAGCACTCTGGTTAATTCTGTTACTAATCTGTATGCTGCAAGTACTTCACGATGGATAAGCAGTGTGTAAAAATTATATGATTCTTAATTACCAGCAGTTTCAACGCACAATTTTAAACTAGTATTTTCGCTCGCCATCGCTTTTGCACCATCTGTGCATCTCCAAGCTAATTGTTTCATTCTAAACCACTTTTTTAATTCATCTACATTGCTATCTGTGTCTTCCTTTCTTATATATTCTTGCAAAGGATTCAAGGCAAGATAATCAAGATAATTATTCTTTATCAATGATCTTTATAAATGTATCTGACATATACGAATGACTGAGCTATTTTTTGTAATATCAGTGGTAATTTGAGCTCTCTTTAAGTGTAATTGTAAAGTTTGAGCTTTCTTTAAGTCTAATAATAAATCGTTCAACCTGGTTGTTCTTAATTTCAGAAATTCTACTGGCGGAAAAAAAAAAAAAAAAAAAAATTGGAAAAGGGGGGGGGGAAAGACATTTTCCGAATTTCATCGTTTCATTTACTTTCGCGAAGTATTTCTACCATTTTAAAAACAGTAGTAATGCAAGATCTTTTAAAATCGTGTACGGCATTTCATTTTACCAATTAAGCATGAAACTTTGTAGGACGCAAGTAAATATTTTTCGCTAAAATTTCCCAAAATATATATTTTCTTTGATTAAATGTCTAGTTCATGGTACTGCTTCTTCTCGTACACATATATGGACCCATACTTCAACCCAAGATAGAGCCACAACATTTGCCAAACGAATTTTTCAAGCTTGTAACTCAGCTAAAGCCATACTGCAGCAATGTGCATTTACATACGGTACAAAGGAAAGGAGACCAGCGTTTAAGTTAGAAGATTTAAGGTGTTTCCAGAAACAAAAATACATATTAAAGGGAAAGTTTGAAATGTTTGCGAATCTAAAATTAATTTATGGAAATCTCGCGGGCATGTTAGTCATTTATGTGGTTTATTTCTCAAAAATAGTAGTTTCATAGAACGATTTAAATTTTGAATATTTTTTCATCAAATTGAAGAATAACACATTAACGTATGATAATAATGCTCATTCCTCTCGTTTACTTTATACATTACATGGATAAAAGACAGGAAATGCTTTGAGTGGCCTTTAGATTTAGACTAGTGGATATGGAATGAATATGCTGCCTATCCAGAAGGCTTTAATAATAGGTAGACAGGTGGAATTCTGCTGTATTTTAATTACTTAGATTGTATTTAATACTACCTTTTTAAAATTATTTTATGTAATTATATATATTTTGGTTACAGGAGTATTCCCACGGAAATTTACCCTCTGATAAAATACCTTCCATAATACAGTTTTAAAAAAGAAAAATATCTGGGGCTGAATTTTTAGTAGAAAAAGCTTTGCATTCGACTTCCAATATATACGCCATTTAGTTGATGTATCGAAATAGTGCTATAATGCATGGTTACTGATGAGAATGCTTCTCCATTATTTCCCTTATCCGTTCGCTGGCATCGAGGGCATTTTGGTATTCACAATAACCAATCTAGAGTTTACCTTCGAAGATATTGTGAGTTTAGCTCTTTTAAAAGACGTTACAAAAAATTTACAGGCAAACACCAGCTTCGAAGCCCATGGATTCAAATCATACGAAGAAATTTGTATCAGCAAGAAGCCTTACGTATAACAAACAGGAGTATCTTATTCCACCAGGTAGACACTTGCCAAAATGGGTATGTTGAACCATAACGTGTTAAAATTAACCATGAGTTGTGATAAGTGAGGAAGCTAAACAAATACATTATTGCCGATGGTTTAGAAATTTGTCAATCAAAATCCAGGTATATTAAATACTAGTGATTTAAAACACGAAGGCCTTCTAGATTATATAAATTCACAGAATATTCGAATATAAGTGAGTGTAAATGCTCGTATCGGTCAAAAGAAACGAGTGCATCTCATAAAAAACAGCAAACATATTGCATGTTGCAATATGCATTACTAAATAAGCAGTCCCATACTCTTTAAACAAACATAAGTGTATCTCAATACCTTTACAAATTGCGGATCAACTGAATGCCACCGATATATAGAATAGCTTCTACCATCAGAATAATGCGGCGGGCTATATTTTTGATGGCAGCTTGGCTGAAATTTGAAATTTCTTCCGTTTCCCTATTTCACAATATTTAATTATTATTTATGAAATCATCTTAAAAGTATTGCACAAAACAATTAGCCCAGGATAATTCAGCTACTCAAAAACAAGGTAATTGATGTAATAAACATCGGGATGCATAAACGCTCATTTGAAAATATCCAACGTTTTTTTCAGTTCTGTTTGGGTACCAATAATGAAAATTTTCAGGATCCTCTGCGATATCGATGTAATTGTGAAGAAGCTTTGTGTTCAAATTTCAGCATAAATTGTATTCGCTCTTAAAGCTATTTTGGTGGAAGGGAGTAATTCCTGCGTGAACACCCTACATGAATAATATGTATGATTTTTATTAAATTTTTTTTTTTTAAAGTTCTTGATATGTATGTAATGGGTGCCAGCATGTTTCAAGATAACTATCCAGAAAGAATAAAGGCTGTTTTTATCATCAACAGTAAGTAAAATTTCTTAATTAACCCTAAGATTATTATTTTTTAAATGTATCAGATTTTTCATCATAATTTAGGTATATAAAGGATAAAACCTTTAGTTCTTATTGCTTCTTTTTTTACAGCTTCCATATATTTTCAGATGTTTTTTAGTGTTATCAAACCAGTCTTAGCCAGTGTTCTTATAGAAAAAATTCAGGTTTTTGGTAGAGGTGAGTATGTCCAAAGTTTCTTATCTAAATTTAGTATTTATAGGAACTGTTCTTAAAAGATTTTTCTGTAGTTATATGCAACATAATTTAGCGCTAATCATGAGTAATCGCGGCATAACTCGCGTAACCTATGTAAACCTTACCGATTCTCGATAAGCCGCGCTTTGTTTTTTATGAACAAAGATATAAATTAACTATTATTGCTGTACATTTTTTCTTGCATTTTGGGAAAACCAAAATCAGGTGTGGACACTACATGGATTCCTTGTACGGCATATTAAATTATACACTTTTTTGCTATACTTCATTTAAACTTATTTTCTCGAATTTTTCTAACTTGATTAACCTATCCATTAAGTTGATAATGGCATAAAAATTACAAAATTTTATATTAAATATGACGGTCAAGTCTTGTCGCGTAGAAGTCAAATATCGTATAGTTTTAAAACGTTCCTAATTATAAGTATAGGAAACGGGAGACAGCACTAAAAGTTAGATTTCGTTATTTTTCGATTTTTTTTTTAAATTTGACATTTTTTGTGACTGCAGTACTTTCTTTACTTCGTGTAAAGAAGTAAATTGACAACAAAGGCCGTTGTATCCTAACGCCGTTAGACTACGGCAAATGTCAAGAAAGTTAAATCTCTAGTCGTGAAAGAAACTCCACCGATTTAAAAATCTAATGTATGGGAGCTGGGAATGTGTTGTGGCACTATAAGTACACCCATTCATAAAGATTTGAAGTTAAAATGATGTTTTAAGTTAAAGTTCATCTGCTTTTGCCAAAGAATAAAACAAAGTCTAGAGAATTAGATAAAAGACAACTAGTTGCTAATAAATGGAAATTTGTGATAATAATTGACGGCATGAGGATATTCATGTAACTGCCGTAAAAAAGATAATTTTTTGTTACACAGTTGAAGAAAATGATTGTATGAAATGGCTTCATGATTGCACAGAAAGGTTTCCAACGGGATTCATCATAATTGCAGGACTCCGTTACCATGGCAACTTAAAAAGTGGATTGGATTGGATTATTCAATTATGGCAAAGTACACGAAGGCTATCTGCCTAGAGGGATGGATGCCTTCGTGGAGGACTTTCTAAGGGAAACTGGCTCTTATACACGTTACACATGGGGAAAACCACGGAAAAACCCATGCAGCCAGCCCGTTCGGGGGACTTCGAACCTCGGACCGAACTACCAGCGTTCAGCGTCTTTACGGCTCGACCGCTGATGGACCCAAATTAAAAAGTGAAAAAAGTCTCACATCCAATTTTTGAAGAAGAAATTCCAGCTTTATATGGAAAGGACACCAGTAATGTCGAGCTTCATATGGACAAATCGCCTCTAGTCACACGTCTAAGACAACTCCCGTTTATTAAGCAAAGAAAGAATCAGAAGCAGAATAAAATGCATCACATTTAATGATATATCTTTAAAAGCACCTGAAGCGTCTATTATGTATTTCTGCGCTTTAGATTTGTTAAAAAGATCCTTAGGATAACAGCATTCAAGAATACTGAAGGGACTTTGGAAAGCTACTTAAGGGGAGTGGGATAAATTTGAGAGATCAGTGCTAAGGAAAAGTTTACTTTAACGGAAATTTCGAGTTAGAGCTATAACCAAGAATCAAGTTCATCAAACATGAGAAAATCGTCTCAAGAAATACGGGCTTATGTATAAAAAGTAATTATCAAAATCATTTTCATAAAGTGAATTCGACCTTCTGTTTAACCTCATAAAAATAGGTTATTCTTCTAAAACTTCACTCTACGTTTGTGATTAACTATTAATTTTAAGTATATCCACTCTGAGTTTTCTGCAGTTATAGTCAGTCTACAATAAGTTTCACTGACTGTCTTTATGGTTCTAGTAGTTTTATCTCATTAAAATAGTATGGAATTATACAAACGTTTTTTAATTTTAAATCAATTAATAAAAAGCTTAATTTTTCTAAGTATAATTAAGATAAATATTAATTTAAAACAAAAATTTAAAAGAGTTTTGTTTAAAAACAACAAGCGATTCAAGTAATGTAACTTTTACAATAAATTGCTTAAGACAGTTTGGATAAATTTATACATCGACACTTTTTCATGCTATTTTAAGTTCAGAGCATATATAAATACATAACTTATGTATTAATTTTTCTCGATTCATGTCGACCCTTTTATTGCTGCTCACGTTTTCAGAAAATGATGCATTCCACAAGCATTTCTTTCTTGACTTTGAAATAAAATCTTTTTATTGCAGAAGGGTGGCAAGAAATCTTGTTACAACATATTGATGATGACGTCTTGCCTGCTTTTCTAGGAGGTAAAAGAACTGATCCAGATGGTAATCCCAACTGCAACTCGTTTGTGAGTATATATAAATTAATACTTATTATAAAAGTTTGACTTATCAATGCTTAGCTTGGTACTGATTACTTTCGTCAATACGGTCGACGTCGTGAGATATTAAGTCTTTCCTCTTTTTGCACTCTTGATATTTCCGGGCAAAAGTACTGCAGAATTTACAGGCTACATAGAACATGAGCTGGATGGCAAAAGTTTCAGATGTTTTATATTCGATTAAGGAAATAACGTAAATTCCCTAATTTATGTATGATATAACACTCGAAGTTCGGCGCCAGCAGGTATTTGCTGTTCGCAGATTTATTTATGGTACAAAAGTAATTTCTACAAAAGTATTTGATGTTCTTACTGAACCCGTTAAGGTAGTTGACCATATGCATAATCATTCATTTTTAATTGGAGAAGGTTCTTTTTTAATGAACTTAAAAATAATTTTTCATTCTCTTTTAAATGTATAGATTTATTGCATTTTGTTGCGCATGCGTTTGCGATGTAAGCTGTACGCTTGTGCCGCCAGCAATTAAAAATTCCACAGTTCGAATTCCAAGGAGAGCATAGCTGACTTTTCCTGTTTGCAGCTCCCGAAAACCAGAGAGTCCATATAAATGACTCGGTTTATTATAAAAACAGTTAAGGTATTAAGGTCTAAACAGTAAATTAAAACTAAGCTCAATGTCATTGATAAATATTGATGAAAAATCTTATTGCCATTAACATTTCGAAAAATTAAAAATATAAAAAAATCTGACCGCATGGCATCCTAGTAAGGCCCAATAAATTATACACATTTTTTGCTGCTTTTCATTTAAACTTATTTCCTCGATTTTCATGAGAGATAGATTTCTCATTCAATCAGGTCAGTTATCACTTTACAGCAAGGCAAAAGTATATAAAAACTCAAAACATCTTCGTTAAAAATTATGAAATACAGCAAAACCTAAAACACCAAATACAATTAAAAACAGTTCAAAACATTCTTACTATTAAAATTAGAGTTTCTAAACAAAAAGATGCAATTCGGCCAAAGGACAGAGAAAATCAATTTTGGTGCACTAAAATTAATTTTTTGTCCAAACGGGCAAAAAGACTCTGAAGTTGGTGCTCCAACTGACTTAATTCACTATATTACTAAGAGATTCAAATGCACAGGTCAAGCGCCACTTACCACTTTAAATTGCTGATAATTCTACAACTGCAGCATGCAGACTAATTAAAAGAGGAATCCTTAATCGGAATATAATAAAAACATAATTAAAAACTCTTTAAAGCAAAATTTCACAATCTACCAACATATAAGAATTGTTTTATTTTGCCTGGTCTGTCAAAGGGCTAAAGTTATGGCACTAATACTTTATTGTGCTTTTTTCTGACACAATAAAACCTGGTTCAAATACCTAACCGAATTTTAATATCCAAAGAAAAAAAGTGTACCTTACATAAAGCAACATATTCCCTCTTTCTAATTTATCCCTTAATTCAATTTCACCAAAGTTCACATTTTTAGGATCGTAATTACGTGGAAAACATTTGCGTTGTATACCGGGAGAGAGCAGGTGAATAATCAAGGTAAACAGACCTTACCGAGCTGAATAAGAAGTGAGTGTATACATACATATATATATATATATATATATATGTGTGTATGTATATATGTGTGTGTGTTTATGTAATATACTAAGCTCTCATGAATCTGGTACTTTTGACTGTAGACATGGCTGGGTGGATAAGGCAGGAATAAGTCGTTGACAAAACTAATTTTGGCGATTCAACATCTTTATTTTTAAGCACATCAAAAATTTATTTCTTTGGCAGACAAATTACTTTTTGATCACAGTTGAATACAAACAATGTTTATATACACAAATAAAAAGCTACGACGTCGTTTCAGGTAGGGAAGCATAAAAGCGGCGTGGAGTTGTTTGCATGGCAGAAGTCAGGAATAAAGGGAAGAGTAGTGCTCGTGACTCAGTATTTATACTTCGTACGTGCAGAGAGTTTTCTAAGCTATTGGTTAATATTAGTTTTAGTTACCTTTTTCAAGCAGTGTTATGGAATAATCTCAAATTTGGGAGAACAGATGAATTTAGGGGGAGAGCACCAAATTTTGAGGTTGCCAATTATTTTTAAAGCAGCCATCGTATTTTGTTATATCTTACATATATATATATATATATATATGTATATATACATTTGGGGAGGCAGATGGCAACCAAAAGGGGAGGTGCACAACTAGGTATTAAAGGAGTCCCATAAACAAAATTTAAGTATTGTAAGTCTAATTGTTGAGTTATGCGATATGTATACGTAAGTACAGACGTCACGAAAAAAATCTTTCCCAAATAAATCCATTTTACAACCCGTTTTATAAGAAGAGTCCTTTATTCTGTCCGCACGTATAGATGTCAGACAGAAAAAGCATTCAAGTGCATTCGAGAGTTGTCATATTGGGTATTTTCATTGACATATGGTAGCAGACATTTTTTGCGATTGCTACTTTCTTTACTTTATACAAAGAAGTAAAGAGTTATGAAATGAGAAAATATAAATTTTAAACTTTATCGTTTAAACCTTGTGTTACCTTATATGACACTTTATCTTATACCTGTTTTGTATTTACAGGTAAGCCATGGAGGCCCGATTCCAGAAAGCTACTACTTAACCAAATCTACCAAATCCTTATCAAAATCTCCAGGTGTGAAAAAATTCATTGTTACCCGGTTCTCTAGTGTTGATATAAAATTCGAAGTTAAAGAGGTTGGTTCTTTTATTCAGTGGGAATTTGAAACAAAATGTCGAGATATTGGCTTCGGACTCTACCTAAAAACTTCGAAAGAACACAAACTCATCGAACTAATACCGAAGCAAAGGATAGATACAAGTTTTGAATCTGAATCTGGAATGTATAAATGCGAAAGGACAGGAACTTGTAAGTTCTGACATTTATTTATTTAATTGAAAATATTGATGGTGTCTGATTATGCATTCGAGGAAGTTACTGAAATTTCTATTTATTTATGTTGAAGTTATGAATATCTATTTGATTATAGAGTATACTATTGAGAGGGGCATTTTCTACTTTAATGAAAAATCTGATGTGTACACCACATAACTTCCTTGTACGGAATAATAAATTATACGCACTTTTTCTTGCATTTCATCTAAGCTTACTGGATTGAATTAAATCTACATTGTCGTTAAAGCATAAACCACAATAGAATAAATGCACGTTTTATAATTCACTATATTTGTTTACCGTAGCGACACTCTGGCGCTAGGTTCGCTTAACAGCGTTACATTTCGTCCATATTATAACTCATAATGCATATAAATTTACATGATTTGAAGAATTATCTAATAATTGCCACCTGTTCTATTCAAATACTATAATAAATCTAAAACGATGTATAAAAGAAATTAAGCAAACAAAACAAAAAAGGAACAGTTTTTCACAGACGATTCAATATTTCTCATTCAATTAATTCAGTTCTCACTTCCCGACAAGACAAAAATACATAAAAACTCAAAATACCTATATTAAAAATTACTAAGTAAATCTGGAACACTTATTTCTTCGAATAAATTCCAGAATGGATTAAGCATGATTTAATTCGCAATAATAAAAGAAGGTGTTATCTTTGTTGTTGCGAAACCTAATTTCTCTAGATTGGCAACAAATCCGCTATTTTGCCAAGTTTAAAATGTAAACGAACATGTCCGCCATCGCAAAATTCATTAGGCTTAGCTGCACTTAAACAACTTTTAAATTGTTGATAACTCCACAAATATTGCATGCAGATTTACTAAAGACATAAAAACCTTAACCGGAATAAGATGATACTTTAATGATAATTCAGTCATTTTCAAAGCAAAAAATACACAATTTACAAACATATAAAAATAAAGAAATTGAGCTTACTGAGCCGTGTAACAGAGTGGATATACATATATTTATATACTTTTGGTGCGGCCGAATGCAACTAAAATACGAGGTGTAGATCTACATGTTATAACAGTCCTACATACAAAATTTCAACGTTCTGAGACTACTTCGTTTTGGAATGATGCGAGATACGTACGTACGTACATACATACGAACGTACGCAGAGACGCCATGAAATTTTCTCTTCAGAATTCACTTTAAATCAGTTTTATAATTTTTTTTTTTTTTTTTTTTTTTTTTTTTTGTGGGGAACAGAGTCCTTTATTCTGTCTATACTTGCGGATGTCACGAAAAATATCATTAAATTGCGTTGGATAGCGATCAAAATCGATATTTTTGTTGAAATATGATACCCGAATTTCCACAGACCAACCGGTATTTTGGTTAGCGTCAATGACTGTCGCGCCGCCCGAGTTTGAATCCCAAAGAAGGCATGGATGTTTGTAAATGTATAGTGTCGGTTCGACTTAACGGCACCCTAAATATTTAGCGAGCCGAAGGCCCTCTTTTTTGTGTGTGGTTTGGTGAAGGGGGATAGGGGTGGGATATCCTTGGACCTGCCCCCCCTCGTGGTGATCTCCATCAAAACCAGGGCCAGAAGTGAGCTAATTCGCACTGTCACCTGTAAGGTGCTGTGTTCGTTGCAGGTATGGAAAAGCATATTATTAGAATATTTCAAGGAAAGTGGACATAATTTGAGGTATGAATGCCTTTCCCACCAGAATGAACTCACGGAATTAATAGTCAGATCCTTTCTTTTTGTATAATCATTAGAAGCCGTAATTTTGAATTGAACAACAAAGAGTTTAGTAACTCGTATTTACTTTAAAGTTGATCTAGAGTTTCTTTAGTAGCAAATATGGTTTCTGCCAAATGAAACAAACAGAGTGATGATTTTAAATTCAAAGTCATTAAATTTGTGAAACAAAATAGAAATCGTGTTGCAGCAAGGCTATTTGGTGTTGGTGAACGGCCATACGAGAGTGGAAGAAAAATGAAATCAAGGTAATTAATATGCCAAAGAATAAATGTGCTTTGTGTAAAGAAGTAACAAAATGGTCTATCCTAAAATAAAGTTTTGCGAACTGGGTCCTAGATAATCGCTAGAGTAGAATAAGTATAACAAGGAAAATAATACTTTTATTTGCCTTAAAGTAGGCAAAAAGCATGCAAAAGAAAGTGAAAATTTTAAAGCAGCTTTGAGTTGGTACAGTCGATTTAAGACACGATATAATTGAAACACGATGAAACTCCAGTAATGTCTGATATGATAGGAAATAAAGCAATTCGTGTAAAAGGAACAAAAACTCACATAAAAACAACAAGTCACATAAACAACAACTCATCTCACCGTAGTGTTTCCCTGCTTAGCAAACTGTACAAAATTCAAACCGATGGTTATTTTTAAAAGAAAGACGGTACCAAAATATAATTTCCTACAAGGTTATTTTCATTCATGTTCAGGAGAAAGGATGAATGGATGAAAAACTTGTAAAACTGTGGATAAGACCTGTTTGACAAAAGCGTCCTGTTGCCTTAATGAATCCAGAATGGTTAGGTTAGGTTAGGTTAGGTTATTTAATTACGGCAAAGGATCAAGGGCTATCTGCCTAAGGGGAGGGATGCCTTCGTGGAGGACCTTTTAAGTGAAACTGGCTCGTATACACCTTACACATGAGGAAAACCAGGAAAACACCCATGCAGTCAGCCCGTTCGCGGGATTCGAACCTCGAACCGAACTACCAGTGTTGAGCGACTTTACCGCTCGGCCGCTGGAATCTAGAATGTCTTTTAGTTTGGAACATATTCAGATCCCATATAATAGATAATACAAAGAAATTGTTGAAAGACGTTAGAAATTGTTGAATGGCGTTTAAAACGCCATTAGTTAAGCCTTTAGATGTCGTTTGTCAATAAACCATTCAAAGAAAATATAAAACGACAGTAGGATAGCGATAAAACAACGTAGATGATAGAATGTGAAAAAATAAGCGGAGGCCAAATGCATCATGCCAGTCTAGAAAAGAGTTTAAGAGTTGATAACAAAAGTATGGCTTGAAATTAAACTCGACAAAATTCAAAAGTCAATTTTAAACAGTTGTATATCTAAGAGTCTATATGGAATGGAAGATGATTATTTGCTTAAGGATTAGAGTAACAGTCATGGTGAAGATGAAACAAAATTCGATGATTTGCTTGACGATATAATGAACGAATATGACGAACTTTTAATGCTATCCGATAATGAAAATTTTAAGTTCATAAGATATGTTATTTCTTTAAATAAAAAGCATTTAAATACATGTACAAATCTAATATATTTATATATACATAATTTTTATCTTTTTTATTGTATATATTTTTTATCTCATCCTTTCCTGATTTTAAAATTTACCATTTTTATATCTGGCGTAAAACACGCACCCGCAAATTTGTCTTTGATATTTTGTATTAAAAGTGCGCATTATATGTCTGAATGTAGGATTAAGTTACTTTGCTTATTTAATAAATATTTATCACTGAAAAAGGAAAAGTAGAGCCCATGTTTTGTAACTTGATCCCTTTAGTAAAACTATTGTAAGTGATTCCTTTTAAAGAGGTGGTTTCTTCCTGACTTCCCGCTAAGGTTTTAGCTCGAAATTAGATAAAATTAGATAATTATATTTTATATAGCATCAGTTTCATGTGAACTTATTTGTGAATAGATAATTGCATTGAAAATAGACAGGTGTCAGCAATAAAAATATAACTAGACCGAAATGAATGTTAATTTGGATTTGTATTGATATTCTTAGAAACGCGCTTTTTTACAGGTAGCTGAGTCATATTCTTTTAATTTAAAAGGGCTTATATTTATCTAAAGTACGGTTTCCGTACTTTTCAGTATTTAGTAGAATAGTATTTCCGCCCTAGAGCCTCAAATAATATGAATCCCTGTATTTTAATTAATTTATTTAACTGTTTGTCATCCATATAATAAATTTTTACATTTTACATAACTTTGTATTTATTGTTTTATTAATTTAATTTCGATTACCTTTCCTGATAATCTTGCATAGGGCTCCGGCTCTCCTAATTTTTGAAATTAAGTCCTCATAATAATACTTTATGGAATTTCGCTAATTATTGCGACAAATTTAAGTTACATTTTAAAATAAATTTTACGTTGTACAATGACCAAGTTCAGTACATACAAACTTGTTGAAGTTTGACGTTAAAAAAGCTCAATAATTAATAAGAAAACAGATCTTATGCGTAACCTGTTTATACTTGATAGAACACTAATGACGCCAAAGATGTTTTTAAAAATCAAAATTAACATCAGGACTATGTCACCAAAGAATAGTTGGTGCTACTTTGGTAGACGGTTGCACCGATTTTTGGCGATTTTCGTTGGCGCGGTTTTTACAATCGTCAGCCATCTTGAAAAACGCTGTTTTTACGCATAGTTAAGTATTCGAAACTTAAAAAAAATAAATATCGTTAAAAGTAATGGATTAATTTTTGTTGAAAATGTCGTTTTTTAAGATGGCAGGCAAGTGCAAATAAATAATAATAAAATAGTAAAGTAACGTTATTATTACTTTCATATAGCAAAGAAGAGAATAAAAACACCGCTATAAAAACATTGTGCCAACTTTTAATTAGATTACAATATTACTCAAATTGAATATCGAATTAAAAACATTATACTAACATTTAAAAGAATTAAAATATTACTAAATTCAAATACTTTAAAATACGTTATATAGAATATAATTAACATTAAAACATATGTGACAATAATTATCTCAGCAATTTTTGAAAATAGTGTATTAATGTTTTAGCAAAAGTTGAAGTATACAATTATAAAATAAAAGAAAAATATGTACTTACAGTTTTTTGAGTCTTTTAACCTGTCGTTTATTGAGAAGTATCACAAAAAATCGGAATCATAATTTAGATATCGATGAAAAAAATTTGAAAAATGTAACATCAAAGGCAGGAATAAAAAAATTAAAAAAAAAACAAAAAAATATAAATAGATAAGGCAATTTAGAGCCAAATTAATGGATCATGAAGATTAAAAATAACAAACAAACAAACAAACAAACAAACAAAAAAAAAAACCACCTCCAATAATAGGTATTGTATTTAAGACTAAGATCCTTTAACCGCCCCTCCCTGAAGTATAAAGGACAATTTTTTGATTCCGATACCAATAATTCTTGGTATTTACCAATAACAACATTCATCCTTGAAACAGACATCTTGAAAGAATTCGAAGATATGAATTAAATTTTAAAATAGCGCGGTAATGCACAAATTTTCAGTAGCCAATCAGGGAGCTGATTACAGCTCGTTAATGCACAAATATTCTATAACCAATCAAAGAGCTTATTACATCACGCCTAGAATTAAAATTATTTAAATAATCACACATAATAAAAATCATTTAAAAAAATGCAAAATTAAATTTTATTTTAATATTTAACAGCCATAAATAATGTTTAAGACGTTAGATTAAATTTATATATATTAAAACTAATTACTTTTAAAGTAAGGTGACGTCATTGATTACATCATCCACAACATAAAATTTCATAGAATATTGTAAACAATAAAATTTTTATTTAAATAAAAATGCAAAATTAAATTGATTTTTAATATTTAGAAGCCATAAATAATATTTAAAACACGGAATTTATGCATAATAAAACGTATTATTACTTCCTTGTACGAAGTAAAAAGGAAGTATTGTAATCGCGAAAAGTTTCAGGCAGCATATTTCAACGAAAATATCCATTTTGACCGCTATCGGCACTTAAACAACTTTAAAATTGTTGATAATTCTAAAAATATTGCATAGAGATTTACTAAAGGCATAAAAACCTTAACCGGAAGATAAGAACAACATAATTCAATCATTTTTAAAGCAAAAAATGTACAATTTACAAACATATAAGAGTAAAGAAAGAGATTACTTAGCCGGGTAACAGAGGGGATATTTATATAAATATATTAATATACGTTTGCTGCGGCCGATTGCAACCAGAATACGAGGTGCACATCTACATGTTATAGCAGACTTATATACAAAATTTCAACATTCTGATGCTACTCGTTTTTGAGTTATGCGAGATACGTACGTACGTACGTACATACGTTCGTACAGAAACCACGAAAAATTCTCCCCAGAATTCATTTTAAAGCAGTCATTTTATAATTTTTTTGAAGAAAAAGAGTCTTTTATTCTGTCCTTGCGTACCGATATCACGCAAAAACATCGTTAAATTGCATTCGATAGCAGTCAAAATTGATATTTTCGTTGAAATATGCTGCCTGAAACTTTTCGCGATTACAATATTTCCTTTTTACTTCTTACAAGGAAGTAAAAAGCGGCATGAAAAACCTCTCAATTCGTTAGTTGTTGCTTTAAGAGTTTGTTTAAAAAACTGCTCTTGTTGACTGAAGCGGATTCGCGGATTAGCTTTCTCTAGCTGTTTTGAATTTCTCTAGCTGTTTGTGAAGTTCTTTTGAACGTTCGAGTAGTTAAAAGATAACTACTGTGAGCTATTGCAATACGAATATCTTAGGAAATTTAAGCATGTTTGTTGTGATAATAATAAATTTTGTTCATTTTTCATCGGACTTGTGCATTCAATTTGTAACGAACCCGTACGCATGCAAAAATATGTTCTAGTATCCAACAGCTACAATATTGAAACGTCAGAGCTAATGTCATGGTTTCTACCCCACGAAACAGAAAAGCTATCATATTTAAAGCCTACTTATGAAAAAAAAAAAAAAAAGAGTAAGCTGAACTTTTATCCTGTGAAAAGTTAAGTGATTCGAAAGTAAATAATCTGACGTGCACGCTGTATAACCTCCTTGTGCGGCCTACTAAATTATACACATTTTAGCTGCATTTCATTTAAACTAATTTCCTCGAATTGTTCTAACTAAATAAACCGATCTTTCAAGAAAAAAAAATCGCATCAAAAATTTCGAATTTTGAAATTAAATATAACCGTCAGTTTTTGGCCTTACGAGAGTCAAACATCTTTTAATATCATTTTTTTCTAAGAGTATAAAACGTTCTCAAATATCTGGTTGTAACGAACATTTTCCGCCAATAAACGTTCTTAATACAGTTAGAAAAAAAAATCATGAAAGTAGTACCTTTAGTGCGGATAGTTAGTCACCACCCGTATCTATGATTTTCTGCTACCGTTTTAGTAGTGTTTCATAGTCCTCGGCCAGGAACTTGGTGGCCGCGTGTCCAAAAACAGGTAAACCTCATTTCGGACGTCCTGTGCTGAATGGACGTTCTGTGCAAGATGTAGCTGCAGACGTGAGAAAAAGCCATTCGAGCTGTTACAGAGTCCAGATGGTGAATACAAACACATGTGGTCTTATATTACCTTGACAGAACATTTCCTTTTTGCACCGGAACTCAGTTCGACGTTTTCTCTTGATAGCAGCCTCAACACGCACTGGCATCTCGCTGAACACCTTACTGTCGAGGCTTTACCCTTTTCCAGATACTCTTTGTGGATAATACCACGGCAATTCCACTGGATACAAAACATGATCATTTTGTTAGTTAAACTGCGCTTTGTGACGCTGCGAACGGGCTCATTGGGCGCAGACCAGTGCCTTTTTTCCGTCTGTTGTTCAAGTAAATCCACTTTTCATCACAAGTGACGATCTGGTCCAAAATTTTGTTCTTGCGTTGATGATCGAGCAGATTCGTGCAGGCCTGAACAAGTTTGTCTTTATCTGCTTGAGTCAGCTTATGCCGCACCCAACAACTGAACTTGTACGTCAGTTTTATGAGATGCGCAGGTGACTAGTGAACATAGGACTAAGATATAACTCCTTAGCAAGCTCTCGAGTGGTTGATCTTCTTCCACAAGCTGTCGCAGTTGAGTCCATCATCAGCAGGCCGGCCAGAGCGCAGTGCTTCTTGAATGTCATAGTCCATGTTTTTGACTTTTGGTACCAAACCTTCACAGTGTCACATGATACGACATCAGTCCCTAAAACTGTACACATTTTTGTTGACTTTCTGGGACAGAACTAGAAGTAAATAACGGTTCTAATTTGGTAACGTGATAGTTCCATTTCTGACTTCTTGCACTTAATGATAACGATATTGCTTTACAAATTGCACAACACAATGTTATAAAGCAAGTCTCTTTCTTTTACATTTCAAAATTCATTTGAGAAAACATGATTAAACTCCCCAGCGCGAACTATTTTGTGCAGACGATATTTGCAGTGGCGGGAAACTTTCGTTAAAACCCGATATAAATATAGAAGTTGGGAGACCGCATTAAAAGGTAGCTTTCGTTATTATAAATTTATATACTTTTGTTATTATAAAATGAAATGTTCCTTAAAATTCAACATTGCCAAAATATGAAAATTTTCTTCATTTAAAACACTTCTGTAATTGGTAGAATATGACTACGAGCAACAGTTGCGGAAATAAAGTGCGGATACGAACATTTAAGCAGAGTAAGGTGGCGTTCATATATATATGTTTGGTTTTACTGATTGCAATTAAAAAACGAGGTACACAACTAGATGTTACCACAGTCCCATGTAAAAACTTTCAACGTTCTATGGCTTATCATTTTGAGTTTTGCTAGGTATGCATACATACGTAAGTCACAAAAATTCCTTTTGATGGAAAAAATTGTCCTTTATTCTGTCCGTATATACAGACGTCACGAAACATGAAAAGGGGTTTGGGAGCGTTCAAAACGAATATTTCTGTTGAAATGTGGTACCCGAAATTTTTCGCGATTACAATACTTCCTTTATTTTGTACAAGGAAGTAAAGCAAATATTCAAATATTATTATTATTATAATTACGTAACCAGATGATTTGAAAATAAATAGTTGAAAAATGCTCAACGGCTGTTTTGCAACCGTAAGGACGTTTTTCGTTTATTATAGAATTTAATGTCTTTCTGCAATTCTTTATACATTGGGGGTTTGCTAATTAAATTGGGAATTGGCTAATTTATTGGGAGTTTGCTAATTAAATCGTACAATTGAGCATAATTTATGTCAATCTAAAATTTTATTTCAGAAACAAATGAAATCTTAACATACGCAACATATCTTGATAATACAGATCTTATATTATGAAATAATATTTATGTATTACAGATATCCTGACCTTCGACAACACTTACAGTTGGTTTCATTCGAAAGAAATCTACCTCAAAGCTACCGTAGTTAGACCAGAAGATCATGTTATACCAGTTTCAGAAACAGATATAATTACTAATACTGCCGCTTGATGATGAATACTGTGCTTTCTACTCTTCATTAATGAGCACTTGTAACATATTGACTCAAAAATTAAACTGAAGTTCCTTGTTTTTTGCAAATTTATAGGCAATTATGTCATTTATGTCTCAATATTTTTATTTGATTTTTGTATTTTTGTCTTATTTTTTACGAGGAAAATTATCAGGACTAAAATCAGTAACTTAAATCAGTAACTATTAGATAAACTGTTTTGTTGTGTATTGTATCCAATTAATATAAAAAAAAATCATTAAATTACTTTTTTTAAAACATTTTAGTGCGCTTTTTAGTTACAATTAACTTCACCAGATGGGACTTGATCTCTAACAGAATGATAAAGAATAATATAAGATCCGAATCTTGAGAATAAATTGATAAAAATATTCAATTTTAGAGGAGACCTATGAGGAATTAGTTTTAATATTCTTCAGAGAATCCCATCTGGAATTCTTGGCATAAGCTTTATGACAGCTTGATATACAGGTATGAAGCAGTTTCAATGTTCAAACATTTGCGATACAGCTATTGTCATTATGTTCTATGTTTTAATTATTCAATCTTTTAAATGTTCTTTCAATCTGTTTAATCCTTTAAATTCAATGTTCAATCTTTTAAATTCTTCAAATTAAACATGAGAACTTTTAAGTATTTGTTCACAATTATGTCAATAAATTCATTTTAAATGATTCTTGCTAACATGAGAAATTAAACATGAGACAAATTAAACATGAGAACTTTTAAGTATTTGTTCACAATTATGTCAATAAATTCATTTTAAATGATTCTTGCTTCGCTAAAATGTTAAATATACTGATGTGCAAATTCTAAGAACTATGAATCATTTTGTAGTACTTAATTTTATGATATGAATTATAAATAAATTTTTATTTCACATTAAATTCATTTGTATGCATAACAGAGAAATGGAATGGATTTGTTGATTCTTGCTTCGCTAAAATGTTAAATATACTGATGTGCAAATTCTAAAGAACTATGAATCATTTTGTAGTACTTAATTTTATGATATGAATTATAAATAAATTTTTATTTCACATTAAATTCATTTGTATGCATAACAGAGAAATGGAATGGATTTGTTTTGGCAATTTCTTGGTTTTTGGAAATACTCTGAATTCTGTGCAAAGTTAATGGTGTACATTGTTGCGTGACTGTAGCCTATAAATGCTCATTTTGTTAATATTTTCACCATTTTCATCAAATAACTATGCATTTTGTTTCATTGTTGATTTTTTAACCATCATATACGTAACTTATGTTATTTAATGATAAAAAAGCAATAAATTTTATTGGGAAGCATTATATACTTGTATTAAGAATTCGGCACTTGAACACAAGCAAGCAATAAGAAGCAATTTTTTGTTTGTGTGCAGATTTTCATTGCAACAATTGAAAATGTGAAAACAACTCTTAAAGTTCTTAGTACTTGCGGGTGTACAAAACGGTATGTTAATGAATTTTAAATTATAGAATTCTTTAGATTTTGTTGATTTTTTTAAGTCAAGAAATATCTTGTATGGAGTAGTGATTAAACAGTAAACTATCAAACTTCTGCAATAAAATGATGCCTTCTTAGAAAATGAATAAAAGTTTATATTCAAACATAAAAAAAAAAAAAAATGTATAATTTTTTTAATTATGTGTGCTTTTGTTACCGTGAACAAATTTGTCTATGACTGAAGCAAAATTCCTACATATTCAGTTTTACTTACTTTTAATTATATTAGAATTTAATGCACAGTTATAAATTAGATGACAAATTAGAGTTAAAATCTTGAACGATGCAAATTTCTAAAGGTGTTAGATTTTACCTAATAATATCCGAGTTTAGTACGCTCCTAGAGATCAGTCTATCATGAAAGTTATGAATTATATCAATAATAATCAGTCAACTGTGGGAATTTAACTTTAGTGCGTGTGTTGTGCTTGTACTTATTATTGGGACAGCCTAATTAAACCACAGGACCATTTGTGGTTAGATGAGTGGTCTCCACAAACAAACAAGCAAACACTTCTAGAGAATACACAGTAAATTAGATTTTAAATTAGTAATCTTTTCAATACTTCAGGATGAAGATGAGAATTATTATTTATTCTGATATCAAGAAAGACAATTTTATTGTGCTGTTTTGTAAAATAATTATTAAAATTTCTTCCATTCTCATAAAAAAAATTAATTTAGTTGTACTGTAGAGACTTTAGGATTTTTTGGAAGCAGGAGACATGAAAAATGAGCAACACCCTCGCCGGGTCTCGAATCACGGACCTCTAGAATACGTGCCATGTGTGCTGACCATTACACCACGAAGGCGTGCTAGAAGACGGGAGAAATACCTTATATACTCGCCCTTTTAAGGGAAGAATGGGGTTTAGGGGACACAATCGCCAAATCCTGGGTGTGAAGAATCATCATTCACCACCCTTTTAGTTCGGTCGCCACTGTAGAGACATTAGGATTTTTTGGAAGCAGGAGACATGAAAAATTAGCAGCGCCCTGGCCGGGACTCGAACCACGGACCTCTCGAAACATTTTATTTGAACGAAACATGCAAGAGGATTGCTGAAAGAATAAATACTCTGTTTCGAAAAATAACACATTTTATTTGAGTAAAACATTGACGTATTTCTACGAATATGCGCGTAGATGAGATCTAACGTTTTTACCAAACTAGACTCTATATTTATGTATATTGCTTGCCAGATCCCTATTATTGACGGTTTGTTCCTTTATATTGATGAAAATGACTTCTTCTGGCTGGACCGCGTGGTCTCACATAATAGAATTTTTATTATTGTTTCACGTTTGGTTCAGTGTCATGAAACAGAGCAACTTGTTTCGACTGATTTTTGACCAATTACCTTTAATAAAAAATTAATACGCTTGCCTCCAACCGAAATTCATTTAACTGTAGCACACTTTTTTGTGTTTAATGTTTGTAGATACACTGATATTAAAATAACAATTACTATTCAATTAGGAGCAATGAAAATGATTTATGCCACCAATATACAATATTTAGAAACTAATCTTAGCACCCAATATTGAACTTTTAACACTGAAATTCCTAGATGGGGAAATAAATAATCTCAAGAGAAAAACTATATACAATAAGACAACATCCAGAGAATAGTCTTTCCATGAGTATCAGGTGATGCAACTTTTTACCAAGCTCAAGAAGTACTGGTAACTTTGTTCACGTTTTCTAGAAATTATTCCTCCGTATTAATATTTTCTTGAAATTTTTCATCCACTTAATTTAAGTCCTTCAGAGAAACCTTCTGAAAGTTTCGTATAACTTCTTGAAAGCAATGAATTCGATTCATGTGGTATCACATTTAAAGCATTTAGTTTTAAGGCTGATATCTTCTAAAAACTGTGATCTGAAGTCTTTCTTAAATTAATCCATTGAATAAAATATTTGGAGTTAATAGCACGAGGATTTAACATAAATTATTATGTACGGATTGAGAGCTTTTAAGCCAAGCAACAAATACAATCCTTATTTTTGAAAATCCAATTGAATTGTTTTATTACGGACATCTTTGATGTTACAGAAAATTTTTATTCAGAAATTATCGAACCCTGAGAAAGCTATGATGGTAAATCAGTGAATTAAAACATAAAAAGACAAACTTTACAATTATTTATAGGAATTTCAAAAAATTTAATCAATTACTTTACAATATAGCTCCTCCATATTATTACATACTTATTAAGTGATTCCGATAGCTTCTTTCTTTCACAAAACTAGTTTTTCCGCTTCGGAAGTCAAGGGTTTGGCACTGATTTTATGTACTTGATGCATAGGTACTGAGTTCACAGAAAATTTATGGTATTCAAAGCTCAGTGCAAATCCATAGTTAATTTGCGAGTGTTCAGCATTCTAACGTCCTAGTGTTCTTCACCAGTGTTCACCAATTAAGACATCGATCTTTTAACGCTTCCGCGTGCAGTATTGATGGCTGAGAACTTCTAATTTGCTTTATTACATTTATAGAATAAATGTAATAAAGCAAATCAGATCTCCTATAAATTCTAAAGGATGGACGACAGTTCATTTATGACAGAAGGAGACTGAAATAACTCACGGAGAAACTGAATTATCATTCCATATGCCATTTCGTCTCATGTACCCTGGAGATCTCTTTCTAAAAACGAAGAGCGTAGATCAAGCAGCACAAAAGCAGATTTCAATGTAATTATGGCACTTGAATGGGTTGTTTGGAGATTCTTCGGAGGTAGAATCGCTGCACGATACCGTCTGAAAACTGGTGATACGGTGAAGTAACCTCTAATAATGATATTAAAGTAGTCTTATCAGGTTCAATGTTCCGTCTTACTTTCTTTGGGAACATGCACAGACCTGACTCGGAACAGGGAGCTTACTAAAGCTATGTTCAATAACTGTGGGAAGTAGACAAGATACACAGGAAGGGTATACAAAACCCTTTATTTTTCACTCTTTACAATATTTTCCGTACTTCGGAATAAAGAGACCAATTACTTGCGGTCTGAACGTAAGAATATAAAAATATAACTAAACTCTAACTTAACTTTGGAATAATAAACGTGGAAGATTGGCCTTATATTAACAGGAAGCCGTATGTAGTACAGAGAACTGTTAACACTACAATACGTTTCAAATTATCACGAGGATTAAACCTCTGGCCTGGAAGGCAAACAGCAACCGAGTAAAACTTCTAAGGCAAGCGGCCTGCTTCGACTAACTCCTTCCTCTCCCTCGCTTGGCAAAAAGCCACAACGTAAGTACTTGGCGTTCGCCAGACAAATTTTGCATAAATAAGTTAACGCTTTTAATTCTGGCCGGAAGTAGAAAATAAGAAGTGATAGTAAATATTTAAAATAAAATAAACGTTAGTAAAACTTAAGATCCTTACAGTCTACCTCTAATAATGATATTAAAGAACAAAAGAGATAAGACTGGAGTTGTCGGCTTTATTTGGCAGTTATGACACATATCACAGGAATCGGGAAATTATTCCTGCTTATTAATATTTTCTTGAAATGTTTCATCCACATAATTTAAGTCCTTCAGAGAAATCTTCTGAAAGTTTCATATACCCTCTTGGAAGCAATGAATTCGACTCATGTGGTATCGAATTTAAACCATTTAGTTTCAAAGCTGATATCTTCTAAAACCTGTGATCCGAATCGGTGTCAGAATCAATGACATGAGAAAATCGCTACATATATACAAAATTATTTTTAAAAAAATAAGTTTTATAACAATTAAAGCTGCTTGGAATAGATAATTTGCGCGTGAGTTCTAGAGCTGAGTGATGCTATAAATTATATCATATTGATGGATAATCAATTCGATATTTGATTTCTTCATTAAATCAGACAATCAAATTCTGTCCATTCTGTAACGCACTTCGAACTGAATAATCAACTCTTCGAGCGTTCGTTAGTTAGTTAAATTATCAATAACACCTTTTGCCTTAAGTGCAAGATTGTGGATATTGGGCTTCAGAAATGTGTGTTTGAGCTTTTTTCGAAAGGAATAGTGGATCACATGTTACGTAAAAGTTTTTGTACGGTATGTGAAACGGTGGTAATCCCATTCAAGTACACTAAAAGACAAGACGTTTAGGAATTACTAGATTTAAAACTATTTTATTTAATATAAATGTCTTAGTCGTCTCGTGAACGAAGGATGATGATCTACCTGTGTCAGAGAAATTTAAGAACCTTTCCATGCGAAACCTGGAAGAACCTTCTCCTGCGAAAAAAAAATTTCATTTCAGACCATCATACAACAAATGAAAGAAGTTTATGCTATGAGCTGAATAAATAATACAAATATAAAGGAAACCGAAAAGATACATTTGTCTTACTTTTTCTCTAATTCAAATCAAATTAGAAAGCTGGTTTCTAAAACATTAAATGTAAAAAAAATACTATTTCTTTGGCATAAAACTGAGTTTAAGAACCACTAAGTTTTAAATATCTTATTTTTTACATTTTAGCGAAGAACCCGCATATATTATTTGAGAAAAATCATTTGTTTCAAAATATCGAGTATTATTATACGAGGGCCATCCAGGAAGTAGATTACGTTTCCGTCTGTGTCCGCTAGGGGCGGGGCTAGCGCGGCCATCTTGGGGTCAGAGCGTTGCGCAGCTCAGTCTGCATCTAGCCGTGCTAGTGAGAGGTTCGTGCTGTGCTCCGTTCAGATACTGTGACGGTTTGAAATGTCTGCGTTAATTGAAAATCCCGCGAGCTGCGAGGTGCGCTCAGTAATAAGGTTTTGACTGCAAAAAACTGTAAACCGATAGAAATCTATCGGCAGCTTCGTGAAGTGTATGGGGACAACATTATCACTGAAGGTGGAGTGCGTCAGTGGGTCATAAGATTTCAAAATGGCCGAACCAATGTTCACGACGAAGATCGAAGTGGGAGACCCAGCATAGTGACCGCCGAACTTCTCGAAAAAGTCGATGCTAAAGTCCGTGAAAATCGAAATTCACAATAACGGAATTTCTTTGAGTTTTTCCACAAATTTCGCGAAGTTTGTTGCACGAAATCATCAGCAAAAAGCTGGTTACCACAAGTTTTGTGCAAGATGGATTCCAAAAATCTGACAGAGGACCACAAAAAATCAGCGAATGGCTGCAGCGTTGAACTTTTGGACGCTTACCATAAGGATGGTGACTCTTTACTCGATCGCATCGTTACTGGTGACGAAAACATGGGTGAAACATGTGAACTGTGAAAAAATTGCAATCAATGCAGTGGGGGCACACAAGTTCTCCCCCCCCCAAAAACCCAAGAAATGCATGCAAACAATGTCGGCAAGGAAATGATGGCGACTGTTTTTTGGGACAGAAAAGGTGTAAATTTTGGTGGACTTCCTGGAAGAGGCACTACAATAAACTCTCAAAAGGTATTGCCAAACTCTCCAAAAACTCAGAAGAGCAATTCAAAACAAGCGCAGAGGAATGTTGAGCTCTAAGATCTTGTTGATTCACGACAACGCCCGGCCCCACCGGCAAATGTCACTCGTAAAGTTCTTGAATCTTTAAGTGGGAGTTGTTTCCTCATCCGCCGTACAGTCCCGACCTGGCACCGAGCGACTTCCACCTATTCCCAGCAATGATGAAGTGGCTGGCTATGCAGCGTTTTGATGACGACGCACAGCTGCAAGAAGAGGTAACGAAGTGGTTGAAGGCGCAGGCGGCCGAATTTTTCGACGAAGGAATTTCCAAGCTCGTACATCGCTACGATAAATGCCTTAATTTGTATGGTGACTATGTAGAAAAGTAGTATTTGAGTGTGGCTTTCATCTGTATATAATAAAATTTGTTTCCTATACTTTGTTTATTTTTTTATTCCAAAACGTAATCTACTTTCTGGATAGCCCTCGTAATTAAACGAAATATTCATATTTTATAAAAACTGGCTCCTTAAATGAAACCGACATTTATTCTGCAAACCTTCAGATTTAGATACGAAGAAATATAGACCACACCTTTATTTCAATGAAACGTAGTTAGAAGTGGTTATGATTTCTTCTTGCCTCATAAATAATTAATGAATCAACAAGTGCTTACTACAATATTTGATAATCAAGTTGCTTATTTAATTAATTACAGGCAATTTTATTATAATTATATAGGTTTTATTCATAATAAGACAGTCCGTGAAAGGCTGAAAATTTATGAATGACAGCAATTTTCACTTTATTGGTACTTTTTTATTGTAACTTATACATATGTTATTTCGCAGATTAAAAATGATTCGCTTTTCCGACATCTTAGCGATATTAATATTAATATTTATCAAACCTAATTATTTCTTTTTACGAAAGGTTCTTCAGTACTTTGCGTATATAACTTATGTGATACCGGTTAATGCATTTTTATCTATCTCAGCTAATTATTATGATTTAAATGTACATGAGTTTACTCAGTAACAAGGAAAGCTCAGAATTTGCTTATTTTCAGTAAGAATTTCTTGCTTGGTAGAAAATGGAAGTTTTATTTTTTTGTCTTAGAAGACATTAAAATTCGTAACAGATATATGACGATTTGTCCTTGCTTTGTTTCCGGAGAACAATGAGACGAAATTCAAACAAAAATTCCTTTTCAGGAAGCTCAAAAATAAAATAATTATTCATAATTTAGTCACAAAAGTGAAACCAATGGTGAAAATGAAAACATAATACCATTATTCTTTCGAAATAGCTATTTAATTTTTACTTTTCATTCCTTCTGAAGGTGGATCACAATAAGATAAATTGCCACATGATTTAAAACACTTATACCTACATGAATAACATTGAGGACGTATAGAGAAAACTTCATTCCTTTTGGTCTAGATTGTGAATGGTGGCAAAATCAGTTCTGTAATAATTGCACTTAATATTCATGCAACAATAGCCTGTGCTGTTATGTAGAGAAATTATCTGATAGCGTTGTAAAAACTATGTGAATGATTTTATGATTTATGGAAATTTAAATTTTATTTTGATTCTGAATTATTTAGTTTAAGGGCTTTAATTTTGGGGAGAAGCAGGATGCTTCTGGGAAATATTATTTAGGTATAAATGAATATTATTTATTTTCTTTTATTTGCAAATCATGTACAAACTTTTATTCATTGTGAAAGAAGGCAGGGGAAAGGGAGGCAATTTTCGCCAAGTCATGATTTCGCGCGCTTTAGAATGTTCGAGAAAGAATTTTCATTGTTAGTTGACCTTAAGAGAGGAAAGTACGTGACGGAAAGGTCAAAGGTTGCTACTGTTTTTCAATGTAAGTCATTCAGGTTTTTGGCGATTGAGGGTCCGGTTGTTGGCTAAGTGAAGAAGGGCGCGCATGCGCGATCACCCTTTTTTCCGCATCTGGAGTTGAAACGAAGATTTTGCCATAATTAAGGGGCGATAAGTGAAGCCATAGTGGGAGCCCGTTTGGTGAAGGACAAGCAGGAAATTTGAGTTGGATACTACTTTGGCTGACTCTCGGACTGACTCGCTGATTTTTGGGGCTTGCTGGACAAAATGTAAGTGACTCCGAGAGGTGTTTTCCTGGCGGGGAGCGGCAAATATGCTCCCCGGCCGCGTTTTGGTTAAGAGGCGAGACTCTCTTACACACTTACTCTGGACACTCTTACTTTTGGACTCGCGCACTTACGGGTTGGCTGGACTTGTGGATGTACTCTGGAACTTACTTGGGACGTTACCCGTGAAGCTTGCTCTTGGGCTGAGTAAGAACAGGCGAGCCGTATTTCCTTCCTAGCAACAACGTTTCTGACCGGCGAAATTTTGAACGAGTTACCTGCGTGTTGACATAGGACTTTCAGGACCAAGCGGATAGCCGTCCTGGGCAGCAGTGCTCCTGTTCTGTTCTACAGTAGTGAAGTGGGTCTACATTTTTTAGAACCAGTGTCAAGATGAGCCCGGCCGACATCAACGCGGGATAAGATAAGAGTCCTCCGCTTCAAGATGTCCCTTCAAGATAAGTTTTATTTTTTTGGGTGTTTTGAACTTTAGGCAAGCTTTTCAAAACGTCCGTAGCAGAAAAAAACAACGTCAAATCTAAAATTTAACTCTCAGGCCTTAAATTGTTTCCCTTTCCTTTCTTTTAAATCACCAGACAAACCTTAAGTTTTTTATGAATTTAAATGAACAGACTCTCAGATGAGGTTAAGATTTTTCTTATTGTGTTGTAATTGAATAAGCTGATATTTTAATCTGGAACCTCTTACAGTATGTTTTCTTTATATATTAATATGAACTTTCCTTTATATCTTGTATATGTTTTATGTTTTCGATCCTCTCACGGCGCGGTCCCGGAATGCATTTTTTCACAACGCAAAAATGCTTTACACGTCACTATACGATTACTGCCTTTTCGCAAGTAGTTTCATATTTAACATTTTTATATGAATTTAAGATATAACATTGGTGCCGTGAAGTAAGATTCATAACATTATTTCCCGGCGTGAACTTAAGCAATTTAACAGTGCTTTCTATTTCCGTAATTTCTATGAAACTCATTTAGATAATAGTAAACTTTCATTTACTATTATCTAAATGAAACATACACGAATTTAAGAAATTTTAAAATCTGAATCATTACTTTAACTTAAAAGGACAAAGCTAAAATCGTATTCCTTTCTGTTTCGGTTTACTTTTCCCCCAAAAAATCTTCGCTTTACTAAAAGTAAAATACATAAATTTAGTACATTTGTTAAGTAAACTACTTTTTCGAAATTTGTATGAGTTTAACAAGTTTGATGTTTCGAAAGCAATGAACAAAAGAAAATTTGAATCTTTTTCTTTTTCTTAAGTCGTTAATTAGTTTTTAATTTGATATTGTTTAAAAGAATAAACAAAAGATTTAAAATATTCTTTTAAAATGTCTGCTATAAAATATGTAAATTATAGTTTAAAAATTTTTTATCGTATACTATAAAATTTATATTGTAGAGACATTAGATTATTTTGAAGCAGGAGAGATGAAAAATGAGCAATGCCCTTGCCAGGACTCGAACCACGGACCTCTCGAATATGCGCCGAGCGGGCTGACCACTACACCACAAAGGCATGCTAAGAAGGTAGGAGAAATACCTTATAATACCTCGTATGAAATGTCTCCTAACAGTCATACTGTTCCAATCATCCCCAGACAAATACTCATCCGCAGTGAGTCCTGTCCTGCTTATTACTGTTCAAAACCTTTTAAAAAAACTGACTAAGAACTTTGGATTGTAGTATAACAA